CCAGGATATCTTTCTTAGATCTGTGTTGGGTAACTTTAGGCATATCAGTGTCTTATCCGTGCTAGCAAAGACATCTGAGTATGGTCCCAGAATAGAAACGCTACTGTATACATTTGCTTGACTGGACAACGTGGTTTAAAAAGAAAAGTATTGTTACGTATGAGCTTATATAATTTAAAAAGATGGTTTGGTCAGTTTTTGTTTTTCAGAAATTATATAAATTTCGTTTCATTTTTTAATGAGTTCAATTTTTTATTAGATTGACGAAAACCCAAGCAGAATATGAGATAGAAGCTACAGCAAACAGACAGACATAGCAGGGGAAACTCTTTTAACCAAGCCTATCGGAGATTCCCGGACCAAAGAGGCTTTTGTTTTGTTTGTGTGTGTGTGTGTGTGTGTGTGTGATGCAGGGAACAATCAATATTTCCACGATCAATATTCATCAATCGATTTTTCCCTCCGTGTACCGAGTAGAATGTGTTATCCAGGTATTTGATCTGAGGCTATAGTCGCCAAAAAAATGATGTTTTTATTAAACGAAGTGTGAAATCCATTTTTAATCAATATTTAATCACACGAACGCTAAAAATCAAACATAGCAGTAACATTTTTTAAAAATTATTTTTGAATTGTAATTAAAATTTGTAAAAGATCCCTCCTCTCTTTTTTTAAATTGTCCTAGGCTTCTATCATTCATTTAAAAATCATTGTTTGTAGTCTTGGTTTATAGATGTGAAATTGCGAATGGGTGTGTGTGTGTGTATGGAGAGCAGAGTTTCTTCCAGGCATCTTTTCCCCGAACGAGATGGAATTTATATAGTAAACATATACTTTTAATAGTGTCCGCACCCCCCCTCCCGGAAAATGTAGACCGCCCCCCCCCCAAATATCAAGTGCCCCCCCCCCCCCCCCCCACAGGAGAAAAAAGTCTGGAAGAAACATTGAAAAAAGGGGGTGGAGGGGGATGCAGTTGGAAGAAATGTTATATTCGACTTTAATGAAATGTTTATTAATGTTGAACAGAGGATCATATATATCTTCATGTCTTAGCTAGGCAACTGATATAAACGCTAAAATTGACAGCTGAAGTAAAAAAAAAAAAACTTTTTAAATGTACATGATCCTACAGCAAAATAAGTTTTAAGGCAGAGTAGTTTCCCCTGCGTTTCCCAGAAATGAGGATTCATCTTTCGGAAGGCCTCGCTAACCCAGGTTACATATCTATTTTTATCTTACCTTCCTGTATGAAGAGCTTTAATTCACCATGGTGACGTATATCTCACTGTTCGCACCACGCCCACAAACACAACAAAAAACCTTCGATGGTACAAGAACACGTGAACAAAATGAAAGTACAACTCGGCTAACCGTCCAACACCACCTAGCAACAGTGTACGACCTGGTCGTCTGCTGTGAGGCGTCGCTTCCACTGTGGTGCCACACACGTCTGCTGTAGCGGAGCCGCGTCATAGAAGAAGAAAAAAAAAACGGTCGCTCACGCACGCGCTCACCGGTCGCACGGCATCTCCCTGCCACTCGGTGGGTGACGTGTACCCGGTCGTGTGTCCCCCCCCCCCCTTTAACTCCCCCCATCACCACGGTGTGGATTCACTCACAGATCAATATAACCTGTTGTTGTTTTGTTTTAAAATCTTTCCGCATAGAATTTGACGCTCAACAATTTCAGAGACTAAATACTTATCCTGGTATATCCTGGAACGTCTCGTTGAGTCACGTGAGATGTGTTACGTGAAACGGAAATGTGTCACGTGTTTGTCCGTCCGTCCATATCTGGCGGTCCGTCTGTCTGTCTGTACTTGGAACCAGTGGCGTAGCGAGGTCGGGTGGCACCCGGTGCGGCACTTAATGGTGTTACCCCCCCCCCCCACCCCAGAGGCGTAGCGACCCTTCCCGGGGACAAACTGTCAATTTTCGATTTGCACTCCCCCCCCCCTCCACCCTCAAACTTTCGATTTGCACCACCCCCTCAAAAATGTTCTCTCTATATTTTACTATTTTTTGCCTTGGTGTCACCCCCCTAAATGGTGTCACCCGGTGCGGTCCGCACCCCCGCCCCCCCCACGCCTCTGCTTGGAACAGTTAGAGGGTGCTTTTAATGTAAAGGGTACAGTTGGAGGATTCATACAGGTGGTTGGTACAGTTCGAGTCAGATAAAAGATTGAAGACAGGGTGTAAATTAAAGCGTATATTGTTCAAAGAGTACAGTTAGAGGGTACAGTTAGATCGTACTGTTAGATATTATAGTAAATTTAGAAGGTAAAGTAGGGGTCGGCATGGTCGAGTCGGTAAAGCTCATTGTTGCTAAACCGAAAAGTTCGAACCCTCGGGCAGATGAGGCTCGTTAGCTGGAGACAGCTATTCTTCTAGGAGAGACAACTCCAAAAACAAACAACTGCTGCCTTGTAGTAGGTTGTTCTTGGTTTGGAAGCAAATCCAAAAAGAAAAGCAGGCTGAAATCGGAGTCGTAACCGGTTGACACGTCGTATACTCAGAGTTTCTTCCAGGCATCTCTTCGGGGGGACGGGACTCGCCCTCCCCCCCCCCCCCCCCCCGAAGAAAGTCTACCGCACCCCCCCCCCCCCCGAACGAGATGCAATTTACATAGTAAACATACACTTTTACTAGTGTCCGTCGTCGTCCCCCCCCCCCTCCGAAAATCGTTGACCGCCCCCCCCCCCACCCCCACCGAAAATCTCAAGTGCCCCTCGGAAAAAAAAGTCTGGAAGAAATTCTGCGTATACTTAATTGTGATGGAGGCGTGGTCGAGTCGGCAAAAGCTCATGGTTGACAAATTCGAAAAGTATCGAGTTCAAACCCTCTGGCAGATAAGGCTCGATCCCTTCCAACACTAAAAGTTAAGAACGAAGATAATGTTAAATGATGTATTTAGAGAGCACAATTAGAGGGTGTAGTTAGAGGGTACAAAGAGAATTTAAAGGTCGGTACTACAGTTTGAGGTTCTACTTTTAGAGAGTAGCCTACAGTTGATACATGGAAAAGGGGTATCATCGAAATTGTTTTTAAAAATGTATAGGGGGAGGCTGTGGCGTAGCGAGGTCGGGTGTCACCCGGTGCGGCACTTAATGGTGTCACCCCTCCAGAGGCGTAGCGACCCTTCCCGGGGACAAAGTTTCGAATTTTCGATTTGCACCCCCCCCTCAAACTTTCGATTTGCACCCCCCCCCCCTCTCAAGTTTTTCTCTATATATTTTCCTATTTTTTGCCTTGGTGTCACTCCCCTAAATGGTGTCACCCGGTGCGGTCCGCACCCCCCCCCCCGCTACGCCTCTGGGGGGAGGACTAAATTTGCCAGGGGTGGGGGGGGGGGTGAGAGAGTCTGTGAGCCCAAGAGATGCCTCAAAGAAACACTTAAAGTAATTGTGATAAAGATTAATATTTGGTGATACCAATTTTTACATTGAGTTAAAAATCATGAAATAATTAAAGATGACTTGACACGGCATACGAGAGATCTGTTGATGTTTTAATTGGATCTTAATGGATTTATTTTTCTCTATAACTTCAGTTCCATTAGCATATTTAATGTTGCTTTATGTAATGCTAGTAAAGATCATGAAGTATTTTATACTACTTCATGATCTTTACTAGTATTTGTAATGAAATAAAATTTCAATTCCAATCAATCAATAGTCCCTTAAACCCTGGGGTCGTTTGGTGCACCGCAGTTGATATTCTCATAATCATCTGCCAAACTTCACAGTCTGCTGCTACTCTGAGTACTGAGTAGTTCTCCAACGGGCATCTCATTCCATTCTTCGATAACTGCCATCCATATATGATTTATTTTTTTACTTTTGTTCACAGCATTACGGTAGAGAGCTAGACTGCTAACCCTTAAGTCTCGAGTTCGAATCCGGGTTCAAGTCAGTAGAGCGTCCCTGAGTCCACCCAACTCTGATGGGTACCTAAAGTAAAAGCGGCTGGGTATGGTGCTGACCACACGATCTCTTCATATGCCGAGGTCACAGAAACAAGTGAACTCTACTTCACTTGCCCCATAGACCGTCAGGTTTGCAAGGGAAACTTTACTTTTATTACCACAACAGTGGTTTAAAGCTTACGTAACTCATGCCTTAGGTGAGGGGAGACAACTCCCACTGCTCAGCTGTTATCAGGGTTGCACTAAAGCTCTAAAATAATGTAGATTGTAGAGCTGTTCTTAAAAACATGACTAACCAAGTTGGTCTAAACCAGTGTTGTAATTTTAAAATTTGTTAAGGTAAAAAATAATTTATTCAGATTCTAATAATTAAACAATGATGCTCATCTAGTTTTGAATGGCAAACTACATTTGGATTGTCACTTATAGTAAGTGAAAATGTAAGCTCATCAGTCTTCCATGCTGTATACATCTATATATCTAGTCTCTGAGTGATAGCTATGGTCAATACTTTGGTGCCAGGAAACAATGCTCCCAATCTATACACAGCTAGCCTCTAAAAGACAATGAAACTAAACATCTTACAAACGATATTTTAAAGTTTAGAATTTTATTACCAAGATACCAACATCAATTATTTAAATTAAAATTATACACATTTGCAATTTAATTAAAATAATTTGATCAAGATGGTTTCTTTCTATAGTAGAAACATGTTCTAATTCAATATTTACAAATACATCTACCATATAAACTCACACTATTAATTTACTCACAATACATAAATATCAACCTCCTTCACATACAAGTCACCATCATCCAGTCTTACACATACAACAACCAGCATCAACCAGGCCTACAAATACAAAGGCCACCTTACAAGTTACTATTAACTTGTTTTATTTAATTTATACACTCACAAACAGTGTTTCTTCCAGACTTTTTTCTCCGGGGGGGAGGGGGGCACTTGAAATTTTCGGGGGGGGCGGTAGACTTTCTATGGGGGGGGGGGGGGGGGCGGACACATTATATCAATTTCATTTCGTTCGGGGGGGGGGGGGGGTGTGTGTGGGGCAAAGAGATGCCTGGAAGAAACTGCTCACAAATCACCAATTACCAATCCTACCCATACCATTTATATCCATTAACCAATCTTAGAACTTTCAACGCCTGAGTCTTCAGAGTTATCCTCCCTTTTCTGCATCAGCTTTTCCTCTAGCGCCAGTATTAAATTACCCTCGTACCTCCTCTCTTTAGAATCGACTTTACTTCTGAAATCATACTCAAACAACTGCGGCTCTTTCTCAATGATTCCTGCATAGGCATCACACACTTTCCTTATATCTTCCATAGTCATTTCAAATGCTCTAAGCTTGGGATCAAGACCTGTTGTCTCTAGTATATTGTAACACAGGTCTTCTCTAACCAATGGGAACAGTGTGCTGTAATTTAAAAAAATTAACTTTGTTCTAAGGGTGTGCATTACATTAAAAAAAAAATTAAAATATTAACTGATTTACGTACAAATTATACAGGTACAAAAGTAGATTTTGATACAATAGAACCTTGAAAAAATTCAGGATATAAGTGCAAAGTACATTTTGTGTGACATTCTAATAAAACTTCTTTTATGACAACCAAACTAGTATGGGATGGGACAGCGGGACCTAGAGGCAGAAAGCTAGACCGCTAACCTGCAAGTCTCGGGTTGGAACCTGAGTTCAAGTCAGTAGAATGTGCCTGTGTCCACCAACTTCTGATGGGTACTAACTTATGTTAGGGAAAACAAAGACGGCTGGGCATGGTGCTGACCACACACTGTTCCTTCATATACCAAAGTCTCTGAAACAGATGAATGCTGGGCATGGTGCTGACCACACTATCCCTTCATATACCAAAGTCTCTGAAACAGATGAACTCTACTTCATATATCCCATGTGTCTTGGGCATGAATGGGGAAAAATATAAATATAATAAACTAATATGGGAGACAAAAATTAAACAGTGGGAAGAAAACTACAACTACAATAAAAAATCAAAATACCCACCTCAAAGTCTTTGTAAAATATTTATTGGGTAAGTGGAAGAGATGGCGGTTAACTTTTTCCACCAACTTAAATGGTTGCTGAATTAATGGCTCCACTTTGGGTATGCATGTTACAATTCCTACATCAACCTCAGGGGGTGGAACAAAGGCTTTTCCTGAATAAAAATCCCTGGTTATAGAACATGGTTCTCATACAATTACTGGTAGTGTAACTGTGTTGCAGTATTGTAACAAGAAATTTTACAGGAGCATCATTGTCAGGTTTAACTGTAAAGTGATGATTAATAAAGCAATTCTAGCTATAACTAGTTTTGAAAAGTCTTTACAACTATTGAAAACTGTAGAGTACTTAAATATAATTAATATGTACCAGTAAAGTATAAAATCCTGTATGCTTTTTATCAGTAAATTTAAAAAAAAAACTCAAAAGAAAAATAACTAACCTGGTATTATGAACTGTAGTTTAACATCACACAAATATTGGCACATTACTGAAAGACGACACCTGTGTTCTGATTTGGGAGGAGCAACTATTCTCTCCGCAACCTATTAAATTACAAATTAAAGTATTTCAATATAACATTAATTTATTCTTAATTATCAGTATTTAAAAAAAAAGTGCAATTAATACTAACTTCTTTTTGAAATGTTAGAGTTAAGGGGACTCTGCCTAAGCGCCATGCTGCTGACTTTTCTGAAATGTTCCTCAACCACTGGATGATCAGTGGAGTTGCGATGCTGAATGGTAAATTGCCAATGATATGAACCTTAGGTGGTGAACTGTGCCATTCAGCGTGTAGTTCAGGGGGTATTAAACTTATCAAATCTGTGTCCATTATATCACCGAGAATAACGTCCAGCCTTCCTTTGCTTGCTGCAGATAATACCTAAAAAAAGTATAATTTTAAATGTCAATAATTAGAATTAAACCACCTCATTATAAACAAGCAAATAATATTGAATAGTATCTTTAAAATGTTATTAATTATATTATCTATAATATAAGCTGGCTGGTAGTGTCGCTCCTTCCGCCCTTCCTTCATCAGTATAGCTAGAAACATAAAAGGAAACACCTCATGTCGTGCATTACTTGCATCACATTGTCTTATCACTAGTAGAGGAGTAGGGTCTAAAGTTCCCTTTCAAACCTGATGGTCTATAGGGCAAGTGAGAAGTAGAGTTCACTTGTTTCTGTGACCTCTGCATATGAAGGGATAGTGTGGTCAGCACTATGTCCAGCCGCCTTTACTTGCCCAAACATGAGTTAGGTACCCATCGGAGCAGAGTGAACTCATAAGCTGAGGTCAAGAAACATGAATGGATTACTAGATCTAAAGAGGATATATATATATATATATATATATATATATATATATATATATATATATATATATATTACACACACATATATATATATATGTTACGGTCATATATATATGTTACGGTCAAAGCCCGAAGTCGGCCAAAGCGCGGATTGGACACATATTAAGAAAAGAAAAAGAAAACATCGCAAAACACGCTTTGGATTGGAATCCCCAGGGAAAAAGGAGGGTGGGTCAGCCAAGGAAGACATGGAGAAGAACAGTTGAAGAAGAGGCGAAAACAGCTGGGCTCACATGGGCACAGATAAAGGGAGCAGCCCAAAACCGAGTCCGATGGAGATGTGTGGTTGCAGCCATTTGCTCCCAGGGGCCACAAAGGAATGATGATGATATATATATAGATATATGTTAATACATATCAAGCTCTTTTCATCTAAATTAAAAGGTATAAATATATTTGTAAACAATGACATCAACCTACCTGAAGACTTGGCATAAACCTTCTATCTTTTTCAACTGCTACAATTTTTGAAGCATTGGTATTGATAAGTGAACGAGTAATGCCCCCTGGACCAGGGCCTACTTCAATGACAAAAGCACCATTCAAATTCCCAGCCGATTTGACCATTTTTCTTGTTAAATTAAGATCAAGAAGAAAATTTTGAGACAGATTCTTTTTAGCTCTTAGTCCATAAATTCGAATAATTTCTTGAATTGTGGGAAGGGGAGGTAGTCGCTGAGTAAATGCCATGTTTTCTGAAAATGGGATATGATATTTTTCTTTTTATAAAAACTACATATGTAATGTTAAAACATAAAATAATTTGGTTCTTCTTTTGTCATATTTTAAACAAATTTCTAAAGATAATTTTTAATATTGTTTAAAAAAAAAAAAAAAAATTTGCGCATTTAAATAATATTAACATTTTGAATACTAACACCAGCAACAAAGTATGAAGTTTAATTTTATTTACTACTAGTAGTAGAATCTCTATCAAAGACAGTGGTACCTCCACATACAAGAGTCCTAAATTACGAGATTTTTTTTTTAGATATGAGCAATTGAGCAAAAGAATTTTTCAATAACCAGTAAGAAAGAAATACTACATAACTCCTTAAGCCTTCTATTATCAATATAGCCCAGAAATTAACTTAAAACTGCAGTGTTTGACAGCAAGATTTGCTAGATAAACAGCGGCCATATGTAAATTAGAGTGGTTTCTCTTGAATTTCTAAATTTATTTCAACAAAAAAAATTTAAATGAAATATTTAATACTGAAAAGTTTTAATAAAATTGTTTAAAAAAGGTACATGAAATATTTTTGTAACTTTCAAAACACAGATCCTCCTAAAAATGTGAAATAATTACCAAAATTTAATGAGTCACCCTTTTTTCACATTAGTAATACTAGCCTCAGAACATTTTACGTAGGCCTACCTAAAATGATAGATTACCAGTTTATCAGTCTATGAAATGAAAAAAGAAATAAAATATTGTGAGCTGTTTTTTATTAAGATCAGAGCTCAAATCACAATGAATTAATTTATATTTTTAAAAAACCATGTGGGTAAAACTCTATTTTAGCGTATTTTATTCGCCGCTTCATGCTCACCTCCGGTTTATTTTATTATACTTGCAACCAAAACACACAAAAACATTATGAAAACACTAGGATTAAGCTAGATCTACTTATTTTTTTTTATGAATGTGAGTTTTAATTAGAAAAGGTAAAAAAGCAAAACAGCATTAGAACAGTTCCAATCTTCTTTCTTCTTCTCTTTCTTCTTCGTTCTTAATTATTTGTGTTGAAGGGAATTGAGATTTATCTGCCAGTGGGTTTGAACTTGAGACTTTGTTCGAATTTATCAACCATGAGCTTTAGTTCCAATCAAATAGCAAGTGATCATCAGCTGGAGAAAAATCCCTACACGGTCAAGGGTTCGCTGTGAGTTCATATTGACTTTAATTATCAGCATACGTCATAGCTTGGGCAATAGCTATTTGAAATTGTGTTTGCCTCAGTTTTGGGTTCATTGTGAGTTCATAAAAGTTGATCAATTTAATTTATAGTATAATGCGTGGGAGATACTTGTAACAATACAAACTTAATCGCCTTGCTATTGTGAATTTCGTACTTTCTTTACCCATTGCAATGAATATCTTAACTGACAAACGAACGATTTTTCTGAAGTTTTGACAAAAGTAAATTATCAAAAACTACAACTAAACTTCATAAAGAAATAAGCCCAATATTTCCTAACATTTTTGAGTGTTTTGGTTGTATTTATAATAAATACGCTCAACTGGAGGTGAATGTGAAGTGGGGAATAAAATAGGCTAAAATGGAGTTTTACCTGTAATCTATCGCTTTAGGTACTTAAAATTGGTCGCGGCTAGTAATGTACGAAAAAGTTACCTCATTGTCAAGACTTTAATAGAAATATATTGTGATATATTTGTGTCAAATATTATAGATAACTGAATAATAAACCAAAATCAATGGCTAAATATACCAATATAGGCCAGAAATTAACTTTAAACAGCAGTGCTTTACGAGCAAGATTTGCTATATAAACGACAGCCATTTGTAAAATAGAGTGGCTTCCCCTGAATCTCCTGCTATAAGTTTAACAAAATAAAACTTAAACAAGATGGCTACTATAGTAAATGAGCACGGTTGCATCTGATGAAAACATCGCCAGTCTTCATTTATTGACATTTATTACGCCTACTGAAAAGTTTTAATTCATAAATCCTCATCAAAATGTGAAATAATGATTAAAATTTAACGAGTCACCTGTTTTTCACGTTACTCGTCGCAGGCGATTTTACGTACCTAAAATGATAGATTACCGTTTTACCAACCATGTGACCCAATATTTATTATTTAATTATTTATTTGGTTGATCACTGAGGAACTCTGGTGCGTAGCCAGTTAAAAAGTGGAGATGAATGAAATCACCCATTTGCCTTTGTTGTTGAACTAGTTATTGATTGTACATTAAAATTTAACGATTAAATTAATGTTTATTGTAGAATTTTGTAGTATCACTCCACTACTTCCACTACACACTAGGGGGTGACTACAGTAACAGTGTCACTCCACTCCACTGGCTGGAGAGTTGAATGTTTTAAATTTAATTTTAAAGAAGCCGGTCTTTACATAATAATTAGGCCGATTCTAGTCGAAATAAGATACGCATGCGATACGCATGCGCAATGGAGAGAAACTAGGACTTAGCGGCGATGTTTTCGATGGTACTGCGCATGCGTGTGTTTACAACCGCAGAACCCTAATACCAACCCTAATCCTATCCTTAACCCTATCCCTAATCCTATCCCTAACCCTAATCCTACCCCTAATTCTAGCCCTAACCCTAGCCATAGGTCACTGCGCATGCGCAGAACTATCTTTTGCCGAAAAATCTTATTCCGAGTAGACACTTCGTAATAATTAATAATCTAGAGTCTAGATCTAGCTAGATCTATAATTAAATATTTCGGTAATCTATCGTTTTGGGTACGTAAAATCGCCCGCGGCTATTAATGTACGAAAACGTTACCTCATTGTCAAGGCTGTAATAGAAGTATATTGTGATATGTTTGTGTCAAATATTATAGATAAATGAATAATAAACCTAAATCAATGGCTAAATATATCAATATAGGCCAGAAATTAACTTTAAACAGCTGTGTCTGCAAGCAAGATTTGCTATATAAACAGCAGCCATTTGTAAAATAGAGTGACTTCCGCCTGAATCTCGCGCTATATGTCTATAAAAATAAAACTTTAACAAGATGGCTGCTATAGTAAATGAGCGTGGTTGCATCTGTTGGAAACATCGCTGGTGTTCATTTATTACTGAAAAGTTTTAATTCAAATGTTTAAAAACAGGTACATAAATGAAACAAGGAAACATTTTTGTATTTTTCAAAACATTAATCCTCCTCAAAATGTGAAATAATTATTAAAATGTAAGGAGTCACCTGTTTTTCACATTACTAGTCGCGGCCGATTTTACGTACCTAAAACGATAGATTACCAATATTTCAAATAGATCTACTTGCTTCTGGGAGATTAAGGTTTTCATGAGATTATCTAGCCTTGACTTTCATTTTTCGTGTGTTTATTTAATATTTATGATTTTATGTTCATGGAGGCTGCCATTTTAGTTTTTGTAAAAAAATTTAACTTTTTAATGCCAATTTATAATTATTACGTCTCGATCTAGATTCTACATCTAAATTTATCGGCAATTTTTCAAAATTTTATGTCTACTATATTTTATAGAATATTATAATTGTTTTCATTATTATTTTGTGATTTAATAGAATAAAATATCTTAGATAAAAATCAAAATGATTTTGATCTAGAATCTATTAAATAGTTTGTATCGTTAATTAATATAATTTTTTTTTGTGGTTGTGCTAGATGCTGAAAATCGACACAAGCTACTGAAATATAAAAGCAACTGTAATTTTAAACCTTGATATGTTGGTCAATATCTTTATTTCTCTGTGGATTCATAAATATTGCATCCAAAACATTATTTTGGTTTAAGCAATGGCTGTATTTTAAAAAAAAAACTATCTTCCCTGGGCGCCCCCCCCCATATATTTTTTTTTATATTTATAATTCAAAACTGCAGCTAAAATGAGCTTTTAATTTTTTTTTCCAACCCAGGTCGGCGCCCGGGGACATATGTACCCCCCCTTCCCCCCCCCTTTGCTACGCCTCTGAGGGACAGCAACCCATCTAGGACAGAACATTTCAAAACAGCTGACTTGCATATTGCCTTAAGGCATATAGAAACAAATCCAAAAAGAAAAACATAACGAAGTGGGAGTCAACTCAATATATAACATTTTGACATGGAATGCTTAATTTTTTTGGATGAAAAAATAATAGAGAAATAAAACTATTAGACAAGAACGAAGAAGAAAAACAATTTTTTTTTAAGTATTAGGCCTTATATAGGTCCTATATCATGCAAAAAAGTATAAAATTAAAAACAGATCAATAGGTCTTCGGGTTTTCGCTATTCTTATCAAAATCCCAGTATATTTCTCGTCGTTTTTAAAGTCTATCGCAGTAGCCATAAAACTACGGGTTGGATGGTATGCAGAAGCTTGCAGCGGTTTGCAGTGATTAGGGCGACCTGTTTCCGGTCATCATAATGACGTCAATTGATACGCCAGCTAGTAAACTTTCCATCTAAACAACATTATTAAATGTAATTTTAATTATTGTAATTATTGTTATTCTCAAGGAAACCTAGTTTAATTTCGTGTTATGAGCATTTATATTCACCATGGCAGACTTTTTCAAATCAGCATTAGGTGGAATTATAGGAAGTGGACAAAATCGTGAAGGCAATGATTTTGTTGGACAACTTGTTGAACTTGGCAACCAAAAACTAAGAGTGAAACGTCTTATTGCCGAGGGTAAGGAAAATACACTGTAGTTAAATTTCTCTAATATTTTAGATAGCAGCTTTGTAGTTTTTATTCAACTTTAGGCCTAGATCTATATACTATTACTATCTGATACTAATCAGAGTTATCTCTGTAAAAAATAAGTGGGTCAGACATGGGTGTCTGAGTGCAGTTGAGCTAGACTAGACTAGACCTCTAGATCTAGACTAGATTCTAGATCTAATTAAAACTACCAAGTTAATGAAATGTTAACCACAATAAACATTCAGATAAGAAGAGGAAGCAGGTCATTAAATAAAGTGCTTTGCGCATCTTCTTCTGGCTAGATTGGCCAAATGTTTATTAAATTATTATGGCATTCTTAACTTTTTAGCACCATTTCACGTAGCTACAACATGGCAGAAAGTAGGCCTGTATCAAAAAGTGAATAGCTGGCTCAATTTTGAGTGTCACATCTAAATGCATAAGTAAAAAACTATAAATCAATGAAGTCTAAAAGAAGAAAATTAGACATTCAAGTTTGCTAGTTTTGAGAAAAATTAGTTTAATTAGGCCTGGTGGTGTCATTGTTATAATCATTCTTTATATTTTGTAATTAGCAAATTTAAAAAACATTTAGGCCCCCTAGTTGTTTTAATTTTTTTTAAATAATACACACTACTGAAGTATGACAAACTTTTAAAAATAATAATCATTAAAAAAGTTTAAAAAAAAACCATGTTTTCTGATTGAACTAAAAAGTAGAAAATAAATGCTATACATCACAATAATGCAAGCGATCACTCTACTATAAGCGATGAAAAACGTGGGGCGCCGAAGTAAAAGTTATATTACTATTGATTAGATAATACTATTGACTTTTATTAGGGAGCTTGTAGAGAGTCAGCAGTATTAGAAACTGTAAGAAAATCACGGCGCCCCACGTTTTTCATCGCTTATAGTAGAGTGATCGCTTGCATTATTGTGATGTATAGCATTTATTTTCTACTTTTTAGTTCAATCAGAAAACGTGTTTTTTTAAAAACTTTTTTAATGATTATTATTTTCTACTTTTTAGTCTTTGTCTGTTTGTTTGCATTGAAATCTTGCTATCGATTTTATCTTTTCACTTTTTTTATTTGGGTAAACGAAGACAACTCGTAAAAAACACGTTGTGTGAATACGTTACTGACTAGAACACATAGATTTGAACCCGTGTCGAGTGGGTTAGCAATTGTGTGCCCAACCGCTCGACTGGCCACCAGTTGTTACGTTCTGGTTGTTTGTAGACAAACACCGTTTGACAACTACTCAGTAAGCAAAAAGAGGGAGAGTACCGAACCTTCTTTTCATCAAATTACAGTTACTGGGTTATGTCCCTTTTCCCCCACGTTTTTTGTACAATTATATAGGGGTATAAAATGATCAATAAAATGTTTCCATGGATCAATTTAGTAATAATAACAGTTGAATATTCTATTGTCATCCGAAACAAAGCTTCCCTGAAAATTTCAGCGCGCTAGCTAACTGGGAAGTGCACGAAATTTCGATCGCAAGATTTGATTGGAAAAACAAACAAACAAACAAACAGAGGCGAAAGCAAGTTAAAGAAAACGTGGGAATAAGTTAATTTGTAGTAGGCCTAAATAATATAGGCCTACATGAAAAAAACATTGTGACAAATACAAACATAGGAAACCATAACAAAAAAAAACAAGCTTTATATGCTACATAATATTAACTGGAATGCTAGGTTTTTACTGCTTCACTTTTCACAATTTTTGGTCACCATGAAATGAGTTACTTTTAGTTACTAAGTTTTTTGTAAAATTGATTATATCAGGCCATAAATCAGTTTAAGCCTTTTTTTTAGTGTTTCCTTAAAATGGATACACTTTGCAGTTGAATTAGAATAGGTGAAATAATTGGAATTCAATGAAACACTGTCCACTGATGCAAATTTTATATTTCTAGTTTTATTAGATATTGTAAAAAAAAAAAGGTTTTCTGATCCAAACAGTGATTTTACAAAGCCTAATATCTATAGGGGTCCATATATAATAAGGGAAAAAGTGGGTTCAGGTTAAAAGGTAAAATTTTTATAACATATTCTTGCAAAAATTATTTTAAAAAATGCTCTTTTATATATTGAAATTTTTATTAAATAGTTTAAATATTTGTTTGTGTGCTATCATTTTAGTTTTAGAAAACAGATTTTTACTATAGCTAAATATAATGGGGAAAAAAAACAAGCTAGCTTTAGGATTTAGGCCTAAAGAATTTTTTTTTGTAATAAAGAAACCACTCTAAGTCATTGTTTGAGATCAAAGGTCACTTTCAGTTTCAATCAGAACCCAGAGTACTAAATAATTCTTATTTAAGTAGTTTAATAATTGCACATATTTCCAGCATAGAAAGGAAGGTCAGTTGTTTATGGTCTTACACTGAATTAAATTTTAATTTAAAAATGCTGCAAGACTATCAGTGTTTTAATTCACCCCAACCAGGAAACCCTCCCTTCCATACAGGGGTAAAAGAAAAAAGGAGGTTCAACCTTTGTTAATGGTAAGGATCAGAGTTTACCACTCAGAATCCAAGTGATGATTGCTAATTAAAGCAATTAATGCATTAAAATTGTTTGGTCTACTATTATTTAAATTATATCATCATGATTTTTATCCATACCTCCAATAATTGTAGACAAGTTGAAGTATAGAAAGTATTTTGGCCCAAATGGCAGGGATGTGTGATTTCTCTCCATAATTTCACTATTTTGACACCCTTATTTCTATCTGTGATTTGCTTTTGATGAAACAGTTATGGACTTGTCTTACATATAAGTCAAGTTTTGGAAAAGCCAGTGGTTTACAATCAGCTAGCATATTTTGTTACATTTGACTTGCAACACACCTTTACAGTTACCTTATCTTGCTAAATCAGCCTAAGTCACCGTGGGCTGTATAGTTCTTCTGAGGCTGTCAAAGATTATTACTGATTGAAAGACTTTTTGTGCATGGATAGTTGCATACAGTCAAGACATAGCATTGTCACTAGATAAAATAAAAAATGTCACATTCTCTTCTGATAATTGGGCATCATTTGTGTTTCTTCAATGATGATTATATCATCATTACGCATATAAATTTGTGATAATGGTGTATTAACTTAAAGTTAAATTGTTTGCTCACAACAATATGTGTAAAAAGTTTCATTCTTAAAAACTTGATTACAGACATAAAAGTTCATTATTTTTGGAAATCACTTATTTTGTTCCTAAGAAAAAAATTGGGTGGGAAGCCCTGAAGTTGTTATAAAATCTGAAATAATTCAGTTTAAAAAAACCCTCCTTTCTTGGCAAATGGATGTAATGAAAAATTTAAAATTGTAATAACTGTTAGCAGACCAAAAATCTTATAAGACATTTATTTTTATGGTTTATTTTCGTTTATTTTGTCTCAGTATTGGTTTATAGTTATACGAGTCGACTTGCGGCATACCATATGCCGCTTTTTAGTTGTTTTATTTTCTATTTTTCAGTAATTCATAATTTGTGAATTCGATACTACCCCCCCCCCCCCCCCTTTCCCCCCACCCGTGAAAGCATCCGTCCGTGACGACAGTTTACAGATGACAATGAAAAGATCAAGCAGAACTTCTTACCTCTCCTTAGTTTCAAATCGTTGAAAAACTAAATTATCTGCCCCTAATAGTTGTCACTAATTTGACCCGGCTCTACGATTGTAAACATTCAGGGTGAACCACAGCTCACCAGACTGGCGGGGGTTGGGGTGGTAATGAAATGGTCGTTTGCACATGCATGGAGAGCGAGAGAGGGGGCGGGAGGAGTGTTAGATAGTCTGCATCTATCGTATTATCCATGAAGAAAATTATATAAATATTATTAGGGAATAAAAAAAAATTATGACAATGAATAATGCATATTTAAATATATTGTAAACAATGAATGTATTTTATTTCACTAACTACAAAACTAAAGTGCAAAAAAATATGATAAACAATAAATCGCATGACAATGACATAACAAATTTAAAATAAAATTAACTGTTATTGTTTTGCAGATTTTTCTTCTAATAGGGAGTAATAAATAAAAAAAAAAACTACGTATAGACCTCAGTTATTTTTATAGACTTTCTGCAGTTATATTTTCACGAATGGCCCTAGTGGCTAAAACCCTAGGACTAAAAAATAAACATAGTGTTCAGATTAACAGGTTTCTGGCATGTGAAGTAATGTCATCATTTACTCTACTTTTTAATAGTCTCACATTTATATTATGAGTTTTAGCAACACTAGCATTTTTTTTCATTCAGATAGCACCACACAAACTAAATATCTATCTAGAGTTAGTGTTGGCCATGGTTTAATGAGTAAACAAAATCAAAGACTGGACCTATGAAAATTTGATATTATTTTACATATATATAGGCCACATTTATTGTTGGATGCTTACAAATACCTATTGAATACCCAGGAGAGATAATTCCTCTGGAAAATTGATTGTCATAGAAATAAAATTATATATAAGGAGAATATGAACGAATCAAGTGCTGTATGAAATATCCAAAGATACATTAGTGGCATAAATTAAAAAGGGAGATTGATGATTTCCTGCAGAGATTACATCAACTCACTGAAGTGTGAAGGCTGTGAAAGACTTAATATCAACAGATCATTTTCAAAATTATTTGGCAGAAAAGGGGTGGGGGGAACAGTATATAAAGAGGAAATTTTAAAAATTATTATGCTTATATTGTAGATGTGACAAAACATGATAGACGCACGGCAATGGAGATGTATTTAGCTTTTTATTTTAGCTCTTTGTTACCAAACCAGTTTTAAAAATGCTATAACTTTATTATGATTATAATTACCAAACTAAATAGAATTCTTACTAAATAGTTAATTGGACAAAGTACAAACCTTGCAATAATAATGGTCTGCCAATTTTGTAATAGGCACAGATTGCAAGTTACTGAATGGGCTTAGCACAAATATTTTTGTAGAACTGCCTACTGTTGCAGTTATTCGTAACAATAGAGGAGTTTTGATACATCAAGAAAGAGGTAAGAGGTGGGGGTCTGGTCAGTTTTCCTCAGATTTTAATTATGAGGTGTACCACTTTTTGGGATTCACGGATCAGCAGGTCATACATCTTTCGTTTTGTTTCATACTTTGCACTGGTGAGCGGAAGCTGTTGACTGAAGAGCAGGTCATCATTAAATGGGTATTGGGGGTTCAGATTCTTTGAAAATTACGTGTTTACACAATTAGTTATTGTTAAATTTCCAAAAAATGTTAAAAAGTTGTTTAAATCATAGAACAAAACTACAGTTTTCTTTAGTTGTAGAAGTATACAATCATTTATAGTTAAGCTAAGGAAAGTTTTTTTTTTAAATTTTTCAGCAATGCTTGTTTTTTAAATAAATTTTCTGTAGTGTATATTGTATCTTCAAAGTTGGTAAAGAAAATGTAACATCCATAATTGCATATTTCACATTCCTTTTTTTTTAAAGTAATTTTGTAAGCTTTTTATATTTCTAAATTTGTTTTATAATCCCCCTTTTTTTCTATTATGTTGTAATTCTTCTTCTGCGTTCTTAACAGTAAGATTTGATGGGATTTCCACCAGTATAGTTAATTATTACGCTTCAATGTGTTCTGGGCCATTTAGGCAGTTGACTCCAATGTCTATCAGCTTTTCTTTCTGGATTTTTTTATGATTGATATTATCAGTATTGATTGGTAAGAGGTCTCCCAAAAAAACTACACTTCTTTGAATTTCTGACCCTTTGTATTCTGTAGGTATTGAATCAATGGTGAAGAGTCATGATGTTTTTGTTTTTTTTTTGTTTCAATTGTGCTACCATTTTTTAAACTGCCACATAGAGATTTATCAATAACAATTAACAACATACACGGTTGACCCGAACATCTGGGACCTCAGAGTTGGGTGGGGAGATGCTGGTCACGTAACAGTCTCTCTATCTACATTGCTGTTGGTGCTGTTTTTGTGGACCAGTTGTTGCCTTGTTATGAAATAGTGCCAAGATATTGCACCACTGTAAGAAGTGCTTGGTGAAAAGGCACAGCTAGCAGAGCAATCCAATGCTTTTGTTATCTGCCCAGTACATTTGTCATTGTCCTAAGTACTCATCACCATCATTCATTGTTGACTAACAATGGACAATTTTGATGTATGTATTTGCCCTTGTTTTCATACAGTTAAACAGTAAATACCAATGTGTTTTAAAGTGTTTATTGAAATTGAGAACATGTCAAGTGGTTTTGAGTGTTCAAAAATAAACTTCATATTACAGCGATGGGTGGAATTCTAGAGTTAAATTGAGAAATTACTAAGCTTTTAATTTGAAAATTATCCTTAGTTACAAGATTTTAGCTGGTTTTTTTTTATTTCTGACGTAATGTAATCATCATATGTGGTCATTCTAAACGGTTTTCTTACACAGGTTTGTAAGAAAACCTGAAGCTTTATAGCTCTAGATAAAACTATGTGTCAGTCTGATGCAGTTAAACTTTAGTAAAGGCTTTCCTTTATGAAAAGTTTTAAAAACATTTGATGGAATTTCTACTGTCATGAAATTATTCTTAACCCATGATATATCACTTATTCTAGAATGAACTATCAAGCTATACATTAATTAAATAAACTAATTGATTTGCTGTTTTGTCTAACATAATTGAAATATATCAAGTCACAGTTTAGTTAGAAAAGAGACAGTACCTATAAAATAACTTAAGCTTTCCAAATGTATACAGCTTGTTATATTTGTAAAAAAAGTTATGTTAATTTTTTTTAACATTCCATTTATTATCTCATGTTATCTATCAACATGTTTTCTCAAATACTGAATCTGCCTTTATTAGTTCACAAGTTTCTTATCCTAACTGCTGTTATAATTTTACCAAACATTTTCTTGAGCCATTAAATAACAATTCCCCTGCAAATGTAGTTAGGGAATACACCAATAAAAGAAATGTTCTACTGTTTCATGTAACTGCGGAAGATCAATTAATGTAATCTCCAGTTCTTTCCTCCTCTTGCTCCTTCCCTTGGGTGTTGATATAAGCCCACACCATCCCTCTCTCTCTAGCCGCGTGGCAGCGTTCTACAGTAGAGCAAGTCAGGGGACCACAGATATTGAATTATTGATTGCTTTTGCTGGCACACACAGCTAAGCATTGGAAGGCTAGTGTGGAAATTGTTGGGCCATTTTCATCTTTAGGAGCTTGTTTGCTGTGCTGGCATATTTATTTCATGTGTGTTGCGTGGTGATTCTTTTGTGGCAGAATTCACTTCTTAAACTGTTGATTGTCATATAATTAGACAGAAGTGCTCAATTGTAGAGAAACTGACATCTTGGTTGAAGTAATTCAACCAAGATAATTCTAGACCACACCTTCTTGTAATCTTAGAATCTGAAAATGGTTTATTTTCTGCTTAAAAGCGTTTGATTTTAAAAAATTGAAACTTAATATTTTAGATTCCTTATTCCAAAAAGATTTTAAAATATTTTGGTCTCAGAATTACATGTATATAATCTGTGGCTATGTAACAGAACTATCCTAAAAGTATCTGCTTCTATTTATTCAATAACAATATTTTTTCCAGGTGGATTTGCATTTGTCTTTGTAGCACAAGACATCACAACTGGAAAGGAATATGCTTTAAAGGTAATTAAAAGTACACCAGTTTTTATTTTTATTTTTACAAACTTAATTGTATTCATTTCTCTATGTAAACAGCAGTTAAGCTGGTACTGGCTTAGATTCAACAGACTTGAGCAAATACTGTAATACATATTAGATTAGGGACTCCATCTGTCTATTATTAATGAGATTGCTAGGAGCTTGCAAGCTGATGTCCTTCAGTTCTTTCCATAGCAAGCCATGTGCTGTATCCTGCTCTGTATCAGTAGCAGGTGTCACTTCAGTCAGTAATGAGTGTTTTTTTTGATTTTACAGAGGCTTCTGGCTAATGATCAGGAAAAGAACAAAGCTGTATTGGAAGAGATCAAATACTTGGTAAGAATCTACTGCTTATTTCTTGTTTAGTAAGATGTGTTTTTAGCTTTGCACAATCAAATATAATTTTTCATCTTTTTTAATTAAAAAATAACATCTCAGTATTGTCTTATCCTTTTTTTTTTAGAAAAAACTTTCAGGACATCCAAATATCATCAACTTTATATCAGCTGCTTCCATTGGCAATGACCAGTCAGATCATGGACAGTCAGAATATCTAATTCTAACTGAGCTTTGTTCAGGTGAGTTCAGTTTGCATGCAGACTGATACAAATCTAGATCAATTGTTGGTTTTTTTACTTAAAATGTATGTAACTTTATTAGAAAAAACAAAATATGATATTTTGTTTTTACACATTGCTTACCCACGTTTAAGTTTAATATTTAACTTTTTTATTATTTTAATAATATGATACAAAAACGGGGTGGCATAGACTAGTGGTAGAGAGCTAGGGTGCTAACCAGCAAGTCTTGAGCTAAAATCCAAGATCAAATTAGCAGAATGTCCCTGAGTTCACCCAGGGAAAGAAAGGCTGATGGGCTTAGTGCTGACCACATGATCCCCTTGTATGCTGCAGTCATTGAAACAGATAAACTCGACTTTATCTGCCCCATGTGTCATAAGCACTAATGGGAAATATGATTATGATGATACAAATGATTTATTAAAATTCTCAGGTCAGCTTATTGATGAGCTAAACAGACAAGGGAAGCCACTACCATTTGAGGATGTGTTGCGTGTGTTCTACCAGACATGTAGAGCTGTTCAGCACATGCACAAACAGAAACCACCAGTGATACACAGAGACTTAAAAGTAAGTACTTTTTTCAAACTTTATAAACATATATTACATGGTTTAGGTCAAATGTAAATGTCATATTTTATGGGATACATGGTCACTTTGTTAATCTATGAAGGTCAAGAGTAGGTTTGTGGTAACATGTTTATCAGGTGTCCTCTAGTCCACTCTACTTTGATAGGTAATTGATTTGTGTTAAGGATGAAAAGGGGTCATACATTTGCTGACAACACAATACCTTCATAAGCAAGGTCACTGATGTAGATGGAATGTACATAATTTGCTACTTTTTATAGTCATAATAAGATTATAATTACCATACTCTAAAAACAAACTCTTTTAAATGTTTAAATTATTTGATAATTTGTTTCAGGCAGAAAACTTGTTGATTAGCTCACAAGGTGCTATCAAACTTTGTGACTTTGGCAGTGCCACGTCAGAGACTCACTCTCCAGACAGTTCCTGGTCAGCTATAAAGAGAAGTCTGGTTGAAGATGAGGTAACTTTCTTGTTATAGAAAACACTAATGTTGCACATGAAATATTGAATGTGTATTTTTGTGTGACTAAGATTATAAGTTGCTATTATATTTCTAACTAAATTTCAGATCACCAAAAACACCACCCCTATGTACAGAGCGCCAGAGATGCTTGATTTGTACCAAAACTATCCTATCAATGAAGCATGTGATATTTGGGTGAGTTCGAAACTTATTAACTGTCCATTTGGCTTTTTTGTATTTTTTTAATGTATCTTTTTAGCACTGAATTTATATACTGTTTAATAAGACGTTCATGTAATCCATTTAACATAGTCCAGTCCATCTCTCTCTATATATATTTGCTGTAAATATTAATTAGGATTACTGCCTTTTCTTTTTTGCAGGCTTTAGGCTGCTTATTGTTTAAATTGTGTTTTTATGATCACCCTTTTGAAGATTCAGCAAAACTGCGCATCATTAACGCAAATTATGTTATACCTGAATCTGATAGAGAATATGAATTATTTCACGATCTCATTAGTAAGCATCTTTTTTAGTTCCTATATCAATTAAGAGAAAGTTTTTATTGAACTTTAATGCTAACTTTTACTTGAGGCTGTTTTGTTATTTAACAAGATAAATACACTATGCTTTATTTAAAACTAAGACATAACATTATAAGCTGAGCTCTAGCTCAACTATAAATTGAACAAAAAAATATTTTTAACATTTTTCCTGCGAAACATTCAAAACTGTGATGTCTTCTTGTGTTCAGGGGGTATGCTTACAGTGAATCCTGAAGATCGCCCAACAATAAACGACATCTTAGACAGATTACAAGAAATTGCGCAGGCGAGAAGTATCAGCTTAAAAGAACCCCTGATGTTTGTTAAGATGGCCCACCAGTCGCCACCAGGTCTGAGCTAATATTTTAAAAAGCTTAAACTTATGTGTAATTAAAAATTTGAACACGCATCATGTAGTAATAAATATTTGAAATTGTTAACTGTTGTTGTGCTTGTAATATAGATAAAAACTTTTGTCATCAACTATTGTATGTTTAGGAATGTTTATATGTATAGCAAGATGTTAACATAGGTTAAAACCTTTTGTATATATTTAGAGTAGTTGGTACAGTATACAACTGGTGTGTCAATTTCATTGTTAACATCTGCTGTATATTTAGGTTAGCTAACAGCTATTAGGTTTGAAAATAAAAGTAAAGTTCACCACTTACAAGAATATGTATAAGTTGACCATGTGCTAGAATAATTAATTTTACAGTGTTATCAATGTTAGAGATTTCTTCCACAGATACACCAGAAAGAAGACAAGGCTATGGCCACCCATCTGCTAACAATGAGAGCAGCTTTGGTGTTGGATCAACTGCTGGCTCTCTGTTCAACTCTCTTAAAGGGGGAGCTGGCAGCATGTTTAAGAATATCAAAGATGCTTCCAGTAAAGTCATGGAAACAGTCACAAAGTAAGTTCACATTGTTTTCATATCCTTGCATGACAGTGTAAGGGCGAAACACATGAGGGTTAAGCTTGAAATACCACGGTTCAACAAGCTATAATGGATATTCAACCTCAAGAAGGAAAAATTAGGCTTCAGGGCATATTTTCTGACTTTACAGGTCATCTAGATTATGCTTAACCTTCCCTGTGAATCTTGTATATTGCCTTAAATATCTTTATAGTATAGCCATTTTATCTAGTGTTTTTAAGCATAATCATATTTCATTATATTCATATATTCATGATAACATAAAATTTATTATTCACCAGTACAATCAACAAAACAGACCTGGATATATCTTACATAACTTCTAGGCTTATAGGTGAGTAGTTAATAGTTTTTTTTTACTAAGTACCATCTTTTTTTTGTTTTTTAAGATATTTTAACTGCAGAGCCTAGGAGTTAGTTCAATAAAACAAATTTAGTTTTCATGCTTTATGTTCCTGAACAGTAATTTGCACTGAACAGTAATTTGTACTTATTCTTTCCCAGTTATGTCATACCCTGCCGAAGGGATGGAATCTGCATTTAAAAACAGTATAGACGATGTTAGGAATTATCTGGAGTCACGGCACAGGGGATCATATGCAGTGTACAATTTAAGTCAGAGGGGATACCGCGTGGCCAAGTTTGAAAATAGGGTAAATATTTTTTATCCTACAGTTTCAAATGTTTTGTTCATAAAAGTCATTCTTCACTCAACTATGTTGAAATCAAGCTATCTAAAGTTTTAAATTTCAGTATTTATACTGTTGTATAATGTTCTTTAAACTGATTTCTAGGTGTCTGAATGTGGATGGCCCCCTAAGAAGGCTCCACCGTTGGCAACTTTGTTTGCAATATGTAAAAATATGCATTTATGGTTGAGACAGAAACCCAAAAATGTTTGTGTTGTTCATTGTCTGGTGAGTTCTTTCTATCCACTTCCCAATAAAAAAAAAATAGAATATTGTTTAAAAGTATACTAAGTTTTTGTTGTATAGTTTTTTTTTATATCTGCAATGACTGGTCATAGTTTTGTCATTTTATTCAAGTTTTTTTTTTTTAATTCCCTTTTTTTCCTTATCAATAATTGTGAGTTACTGAATTTGAATACTTTCATCAGGATGGTAAATCCAATTCTGCCTGTGTTATTGGAGCATTTGTAACTTTTTGTCGCTTGTTTGAAAATGCATCTGCTGCCATGCATTTGTTTACTGCTAGACGATCCCAACCTGGGCTTAGCCCATCACAGAAAAGGTACCAGATTTTTTTTTGTAAATTAAATGCTATGTAACTAGGTATTTGAATTTCTAATTGTTAAGCAATCATTTCCTTTATAATTTAATAGAAATTGTGATTTGGTTATTTGAATGTTCCTAAACCAAATATTTTCTCTCCTTTTTTTTTAGATATATAGACTATGTAGGACAAATGGTATCTGACACACCAGTATTTCCTCATTCTCTGCCTGTACTATTGAAGTCAATAACACTGAGACCTTTGCCCTTATTTAATAAAATGAAGTAAGATGTTCACAAATTGTTTCATTTCAATAGCTTTATATTTTTGTTAGGATGAAAATTTTAGTTAGGAGTTAAGTAATTTTTGTTGTTTAAATATTAAACTACCATAACAGTTGTATGTGATTTCTAAACTATTGTATACTCATTATTGTCATAATTATTGAATAATTAAATAATTGATCTACAGAAATGGTTGTACACCTTTTGTTGAAGTTTACGTTGGAGAAGATAGAGTGTATACCAACTCCCAAGAATATGAAAAAATGAGGTACTTTCTTATTTACTAAAGAAAAAACTTTTTTTGTTTGTTTTTATGTCAGCACAAATAGAAAACTACCAAATCCTTGTATTAGAAATAGAAAGTATTCATTTTACTCATTATAAAAGAATACATTAGAAAGAAACTCTTTATGTAGCATCTAAAATTGTTAACAAATCTAACCTGCAGACAATACACATTAGAAGATGGAAGAGCTGTTTTACCAATCAACACATCAGTGACTGGAGATGTAACTATTGTAGTGTACCACGCACGTTCCACATTTGGTGGGAAGATACAAGGCAAAGTGAGTGAAATCTTTTTTTTAAACATTCATAGATTTTTACTCTTCTGTTATTTAAAAGTTTTTTTTTCATTAATGTAAATTATTTGATAAGTTTTATTTATATGAGCACTTTTTTGCTTGTTGAAATATCTTTTGTTTTTAAACTGAACTTTTAGCTGTGGTATGATTTCATTCTATAACCTTTTGTAATGTTACCATCAAACCAGATTACATCCATGAAGATATTTCAAGTCCAGTTTCACACTGGTTTTATCAAGGAAGGAGTCAGTGAGTTGCAGTACAATCAGTAAGTCCGGCAACCAGAATTTGTTTAGTTAGATTTTTTTAAGGGCTTTTAACTTATCAACTACTTTTAATGTTATAAATAACTATTGTTAATTTTAATGTTTAAATAGTACAACAGTTGATTTAATTTTTGGCTGTTATGTAAATGCTAATTCAATAATATAGTATTGTATCAAGTTTTTTCTGGGGACACTGCAGTGGTGGTATTATTATGTCCTTTGAAAAGATGTGCAATAGTCTCATGCTTATGAATAAATGAATGTAAAAAATCTATTATGTGCAGGTATGATCTGGACCAGCTTGACACAGCAGACAAGTATCCTGACCTGTTCTCAGCTACCATTGATCTGGTTGTGTCCTCCAGTGGGAAACCTCAGACAGACAAGAAGCCTTGGGAAAACTTCCCTATTGATAAGCTCACTCCCAAAATACTTTTCTCTTCCAAAGACGAGATACACCAGACTTTTTCTGAATTTGGTAATTCGGCTTCATTTATTCTATAGTTCTTCCTTAAATAGTTCAAACGCTTAGTTACCTGTGGAGTACATTTTTATTTAAAAAACTATTTTCAAGTATGACCCACTGCAACAAATAGACCTTGTTTATAAAATCAGAATCTATTTATCGCAGGTGTGTCTGATAGAGCAAAGACCCGCATGAGCCGAGCCTCCAGTTTTGATGCAGAGTCCCCCGTGGAATCCCCCAGCACCCCAGTGAAACAAACCAAGCCCCAGGAGAGAAGACCTGAGCCAGCCAAGTCATCAGTCAACGGCAACTCTTCTGGCGTGGGCCACTTCTTTTCCACCCTCACCTGGCAGGATGATGGGGACGAGGGGGCGGTACCTGCACAACCCACAGAGTCACACATGGGTCTGCTGAACAACCAGTCCGACGAGGAAGATGATGCTTTCAACAGCTTCACTAGGAACAGAACCAATGGAGATGTGCCTAGCGGGTATCAGACAATCACCGACAATGATGGGAAGAAGCCTGAGAAGAATGTTGACCTCTTCAGCGATGAGTTTGGAGAGCTGGCCTCTGCCCCTTCCCAGGGAGAAGTGGTGGACCTTCTCAACATGAACACTGCTAAATCTAGCCCAGTGGATGCTGCTTCCAACCACATGGACCTCCTGAACATTGGTGGTGATCCTTCTAACGTGGATCTATTAAGTGGACACAGCTCCAAAGTTCCTCAGCCAGCCAACAAAGCTGATCCAGACATACTGGGAATGTCTAGTTCAGAAGACACCTTTGACCCCTTCCATCAGTTTTCCGCAGGTCCCTCACTGGCGACCACCAAGCCTGACCTCATGACATCCAACACACCAGCATTTGATCCATTCCAGAGTTTCCCATCCGGCACCTCCGCTGCTGTCCCACCGAGCATGTCCACGTCGCACCAGCCTACAACAGACGATGACTTCTTCGCATTCATGGAAGACACAAAGTCTGCAAAGAAAGACGCTGAGCCAGACCTCATGACGAGCTGGAATGCGACTGACATTAAAAATTTAGCTGGCATTTCCAAGCCTTCCCCCACCCATAACCTGACTCCTGGGGTAGGAGGTATGCATAAAAGTGCCAGTACAGGGTCGGCTATGAATTTCAGCAGCATGATGCAGGACCAGGCAGGCAGAAGTTCTCCTCAACCTGGGATGGGCATTGGACCCATCCCAAAGATGGATCCATTTGCTGACTTAGGTAATTTTCTTTTCCAGATTCCATTTTGATAGGTATAATTTGCTCAAAAGGCTTAGTTACATAGACATTGAGCAAATAGTTTGTTTTGTTTACTTGAAGTAAATGTCCCTTTTCGAACCTGACTTTCCATGGGCCAACTGAAGTAGAGTTCACCAGTTTCTTTGACCTCGGCATAGGAAGGGATGGTGTGTGCAGCACTATGTCCAGCCGTCTTTACTTTCCTTGAGTTTGGTACCCAAAAGAGCTGGGTGGACTCAAGGACGTACGACTGACTTGAACCCAGATTCGAACTCAAAGCCTTTTTAGTTGGCAGTCTAGCACTCTACCGCTAGGCTACGCATTTTGGTTTACTTACTGGCTGGAAATTTAGCTTTGACAATAATTGAAGATTTTTAATAGAAACAAAATTTAATAAACAGCTGAGCTAACTATTATAAATATTATTTAAAAAGTAATTAGAAAATACTTTTAAGAACTTTTAGGAAGTTCAGAAAATGATCTGTTCAACATGTTTTTAAAATGTCTAAATCTAGGAAACTTGGGGGCCAAAAATACCTTTAAAGGTTCTGGTTCAAACTTCAGTCAGCGACCACAGCAGCCAGGTGTAGGTGGCATAGCAGGGCCTTCTGCTGGTAAATTTTTATTTTGTTTGTCTCATTGAGATAAATTAACCCCCTTAACAACCAAGTCTATTAGGAATCTACTTGATGGTGTTGAGTCAAGTGTTGACTCTAAAGTTTCTCTGATGCCAAACCCAACACTGTCAGCACCTCATCAGCATTTAAGATGTGAATAAATGGTAAAGTGAGTTTTGTTATTGACAGGGTTTCAGGGCTTGAGTGGCAGCCCACAGCCTCGACCAGCCTTCCAGTCACCCATGAGCCAGCCAGTGAGGCCCCAGCAGCAGTCACCACAGCACAGGCCCCAGCAGCCACAGACCTTTCAGAAACCAAACTACTCCAGCAGTGTTATAGGAGACAGGGAGGATAGAGCCCCACGCAAGTCCTTTGGTATGTAACTGTGGGGACACTGTCCAGTAAAGTCTTACTTAGATGTCATGTATTGTTTCTGTGATAGGCAGAATATAAGTACATTGAAAGACCATTGGTATATAAATAACAGGAGATTTTGATTATAGGTTCATGCATGGTGCTTGTTAAAACATTCTGAATAATTTTCATAAACAGTTGAACTCATGTAATCTAGTATATTGAAGGTTATTTTATTATACTTTAAGTACATCATTAATTAAAGAACAGGTAGTACAGTTATAATTTCAACAGTGTTTACATCAAACCACTGATGATAAAAATGTGAACCATTTGTTATAAGGACCAAAACCAAAAGTTAGTGCAGACACCTTTAATGATTTACTTGGGGAGCATCAGTTCACTAGTCGCAAGGACAATGAACCCAAGACTTTGGGAGACATGAAGAGGAAGCAAATGGTAGAGGAGATGGATCCTGACAAGTTAAAGGTATTTCTATTTGATTCATAGATTTTAGTTGCCAATATTTTGAACAACATTCTCTCAGGATGTTGAGTGTTTGACCCCAGGAAGAATGATTAGAACATGTCAAGCGGAAAATATAGAATCTTTAAAAATCTCCTGGCTAAATAATTTGGTTCTTATAGAAATGCAGCATCTATAGAGATTGTTTTTACAGCTGTAATTGCTGTCAGGGTTAAGGCTTTAGGTTTAGGGTTGCTGTACTAGCAAAAATGTCTTTGTCTACACCCAACCTGTTTTTAGTTTACATTATTCATAATATGTTTTCATTTATGAAAATCACTTTTCTCAACATTTATTATTTAATACAACCAACCTATTGTAGTAGTTTTGTCCCTTTGTATTGTTCCTACCTGAAGTGCACTAATTCAACTATCACTCTGCTGTACTCCCAATGAGCTTATATTCAGTGTTTAACCACATAAACATTTTATATTTCTTCACCTCTTGTTTTCTTGCAGATACTGGAATGGACCAAAGGCAAAGAGAAAAATATCCGTGCTCTTCTCTGCTCTCTTGGCTCTGTCTTGTGGGATGGGGAGGCTCGGTGGCAGCCTATAGGCATGCATCAGCTGGTCACGCCTGACCAGGTCAAGAAGATTTATAGGAAGGCAGTTCTATCTGTGCACCCTGATAAGGTCTGTAGAATTTGTGATCAGATAGGCTTATCTAGAATTGTTTTGGGATTTGACCTGTCTTTTCCCATACTATTATGTTAGTACTTTGACCTTTAATATTCGCTGTAGGTTGCTATTTATAAAAGATTGTAGTCTATTTCAGTTCCAATGAGCTCTACTTCAACAGGCCTCAGAACTTGAAAGATCTCTCTAATCATATTTAATTGTAACTCTGTATCATTTGGCATATTTTCATTCCTCTTGGACTTGCCATTACGAAATGCACTAATTTAAATTGTCTCTGTTGTTTTTTTAGCTCACTGATGATCCAAACCAACCCCTAGCCAAGCTGATATTCATGGAACTGAATGACGCCTGGGCCAAGTTCGAAGAAGAGGGTTGCAAAGCATTGTACTAAGAGCATTTGTAGGTCTTGTAGTTGTTGCCGTAAATTATTCATTTATGCAAATTGTATGCAAATTAGCAACAGCATAAGCATCTGCGCAGCTAAGATGGTAGTAATTTATTTCAGGCTAGGCATGTTTAAATGCAGGTACCCTTGTGTTGTTTTTTTTATTCACTGCTATTTGTAAAACTTTTTTCAGATTAGCTGAGCATCAATGTTGCATCATCAGGATCTTTAGGAATTTTAAAACTTTTTTTTTGTTAGAATTGTATTTATAAACATTTTAATTTATTAAATTTGTGTACAAAAAACAGTAAAAATGTGCATTTAGTATAGACATATTTCTGTAGTTATACTTATTAAGTAGCTTTTATTTACAGTGAAGCTTAATCTGTTGTATTGTTTAAAATTGTTTGTAAAAGCTAAATTAAGCTAATTATATTATACTTAAAAATGCTGTTGTCTATTGTTAGCTGTCGCAAAAATCATTCAGCTAGATAATTCGATTAATTTGAAATCAGTTCTTTTGTTTTAAAATTTTGATTAATACTTTTTAAAAATTGTACAGTAAAAAAATCTTGAAATTTGCTATATGTACCGGTATATTCTGAATACTTTATGATATAGTGAATTAGTCAGAAGAGACAATGTTACTGTAAAGTTTTTAACCAAATACTTGTTTTAGCTCTTTTTCTTGGTTCACAGTCATGGACTATGTTCAATACTTCCAGTTCTAGTTTTTAAATTTCTTTTACTTTATGAATGTAAAAAAAAAATGAAATATTGTATAAAATGATGAACACACAAAAAATTGCTGAGATGAGTACTGTGATAGAAAATATTATACTCTGTGAGTGTTTTAGGATGGTGTTGCAGTATGATTTGTATGTCAAAGCTTATTAAAGCCATAATTGTAATATACAAGCATCTCTTGTGGACCAGAATTTCTGCCATCCTTAGATTAAATATTTCATAAATACAGGTGATGATATTTCTTATGTGTACTTAATTCTTTTTTTACTATGTATATTTGAAATATTGTAGGAAAATCTATTTTGGTTTGCTTTTTTGTATGGTTGTGTCACATTTTTTTGTTTTGCTTCTGCTCATTCCATTCTAATGTCAAACAAATTTTATTTTTAGCATGGAGAGAACATTCCTCTCATTTTAAACACTATTCAAAGTGTATAGAAACAACTGCTTGTGATAATTTTATTTGCTATAAATAGAAACGTTTTAATAGCTAAAGGAAAGGTTTATTTTATTGAAATAGATGAGTTGAATTTATCATCTTTATATTACTATATGGTAGTATGTGTTTCTTTTACCAGAAATCAAAACGAATAATTTAAAAATTTTGTGTTACAAACTTTTTTCTAAACTAAAATGACTAAGCATTTGAAGGGGTCTTACTTTTTATAATGTATTTTTTTATAAGTACTGTTTTTGCTTAATTTTGTTCTTCTAATCCCAACTTTCATTTCTAGAAATAGATTTGTGTTCATCTAATTTTATTTCATAACGGTTGTTAAAATATATTCAAAGATATTTAAGGAAAGAAATCAAAGCTGCTATTTATATTTAAATAAAGGAGCTACTGCTCAGTCTAATTTTAGAAACTGCTCCATTGGACAAGCACAAAGTCATTTGCTCACACAACAAACCACATACCTGTACAACTGATTTTTTTTTTGCTTACATTTTTGTACAACTCTAAACCCTCTAATTTAATTTTTTTTTTCTGACAATTTATGCCCAAAATATTTAATGTTTTTTTAAAATGTAAATATTATCATGAGATTATATATTAAGACAATAATTTAAAATGTGGGGCAAGGTTTTAAAAATATAGAAAGGCAGTATCTGTTGTTACAATAGACTAGCTATTAATAAAACAATTGTTAACTTTAAATGTGAATTATTTCCCTTGAAGTTTTTAATTACTGATATGTATTCTTGAAGAGCACTGACTTAGTAACTATTTATTCAAGTAGTTTGAGACATTTGTTTAATATTTAAGCAATACACACTGTTTCTTCATATCCAGTGATTTGTACAGATGAATCCATGTGATTTGCTGTAATAATCTCTACCAACACCTTTGAATATGTTGATAGATTTTAATGGGTTTACTGTTTGTATGTTTAGTCATGGTAATGCTGTTGTTTTCATGTCATTCTAGAGAGAAAAATTTAGAAAATCTATCAATCTTATGAAATTAGTCCTAATGTAGTTTCATTGCATTCATTTTGATGTTCTAATGCTTAGTAATGCAATTTTAAATCTGGGTACAACTAAAGTACCAGTTTTAATGTGTCACCACTGTTTATAAATATTATCTGTACTGTTTAGAAAGCATAGAATATATATTGAGTAATAATTTTTTATACTTTGTATTGTCTTTAGTAATTAGTTAACGAAAAACTTTGTACTTTCTGAACTAATGGTTAGTCTTGTTAAATAGCTAGTTAAACTCTTTCTTGTACAGTGTTTTAATTACACATGCTACTTCTGTTTTTTACTGCTAATAACTTTTAACAATCAGCATGCCGAAACAAAAATACCCCAGCAGTTTCACACTTCTTGTGTTAAACAGCTTGGCATCATTTGTAAAAACCACTAGACACAAGATTCCTGAACAAAGTTAAGAGACAAAGATTAAATGTTTAATGCATCAAGTAGTAAAGACAACAAAATTAGCCTGCCTTGATCATAGAAATTTGTTTGTTTTTAAAACTTTTTTTTTTACATGAAGCCTAAAAAGGTTTTTACTAAATGCTTTTATTTTATATTGTTTTTCATGAAGGTGTAAACATTTTGCTTTGAATAGAAACTGTAGGATTGTACAAACTGATGTGTTTCTTATTCTGTGCAATACATATTGAGGGACTTAATGTTACTGTTTGTAAATAAATAGCTCTAATATTATTTTGTTTTCTTTTCTATTTAATAAAAAGTCTGGAGAACAGTATTCATGAAATATTCTGGAAAGCTGCTTTAAAAATGTCGACAAGTAGTTTTAAATATTATTAATTTTTGACATTGAAAGAAAAAGACTGCATGAAACAGCAGAAAAGAAAAAAGATACTCAAGTATAAAACAAAATAAAATACATTTTTCAAGTTATAAACAATTTATTTTGACAAATAAATGTGATTTTAAATCTAGCTAATATCTTGAACTTTAGTCCTTTCACATAGTCCATTAACAACATACTGGAGTCTACTAGGGTTTGTGTGATATAAGATGAACAGCTCCCTTTCTTTGCTAAGCAAAACATTATTTTTCAGAGCCTGAAATAAAATATTTTAAAATTTTCAAAACCCATTTGAAAAGTGCTTGTGCTTTGGAGCTAAATTACAGAAAAAAATATAAAACAATCATATTTAGAAAAAAAAAAGTCTTACTGCTTTTTTGGTATTGACATCAGCAATGACGCCTGTGATATCAGTTTCAAGTGAGCTGAGTTTAGACATGAGGGTGGCCATAGCTGACTGGACGTCAACGGGGGAGAGACAGGGCAAGCCACTGGATGTGCTGGAGCCATCATACAAAGCTGACTCACAGTCTTTAACACATTTCTCTCTACAGTAAAAAAATTTTTTTTAGTATTAGTAGACATAGTCACTATGATCATGAAACTTGTACATGGACATGAAAAAAAAAATAACGCAGCTATAATATAAAATCGGTACTTCAAATATTAAAATAAAATTTCAAAATGTCAAAAAGTACATGAAAATCAAAGATTTATTACAGGCAAATTGTTAAAAGAGGTGGGCAGTTGATAGAAAACAATTTTTTTTTTAAATTAACTAATGAAAGAAAAACCTCAAAAGAGTAAAGGCCAGCTTAATATCAGACTTTTCCCCCTGTACTAGCCCTGTTGGCAGGTACTCCATACAGCCTCAAAGGATAATGTTTAACCTGTGTAAAAACCTGTAATGCAGGTTGGCAAACCTGTGTCTTATGTCAATACTAGCCCTAGCTTAACCTGTGCCTTATGTCAATGCTACCCCTAGCTTAGTAAGTGAATTTCACACTCAGACCTGACTGGGATGAGGTGAAGTTGATCTGTTTCTCTGTTCTACAGATAGAAGTGAATACTGTGGTCAGCACCATGCCCAAATATCTTTCCCTAACTCAAGTGAGCTGAACTTAAGAGCATGGCAGACTCAGGAATGTACTACAGACAAGCCAAAGATCTGATCTCAAGACTATAAGTTTAGTTATTGAGTTTTGTACAGCTAGATGAGCCATCCCATGTCAGTAATTATAAAACTAGTACTAGGACTGTAACTACTTACAGCTGACTGACTTTTGAAATGTACTTCTCAAAATCTGTCTGGTCTATGGACTGAGCATTCTTGTATTCACTGTACAAGTTTTTAGCCCTTTCAACAATTTTTTGCTTTGGGAGGTAGAGCATTTTACTATCGTCAGTTGAATCTCCTGAGGGATAAAAGAAATAATTCACACATTTTGATACTGACTGCAAATTATAAGTAAAATAGGGACTTTTCTATCAATGTGCATTAGATATATATTCACACTTTACTTTATAACTTCATCTCCAACCCCTGTAACCAACCTGTGTAACAATCAACTGTAACCAACCCCTGTAACCAACCTGTGTAACCAGCAACTATAACCAACCCCTGTAACCAACCAGTGTAACCAACCTGTGTAACCAGCAACTATAACCAACCTGTGTAACCAGCAACTATAACCAACCCCTGTAACCAACCAGTGTAACCAACCTGTGTAACCAGCAACTATAACCAACCTGTGTAACCAGCAACTATAACCAACCTCTGTAACCAACCAGTGTAACAATCAACTGTAACCAACCCCTGTAACCATCAACTGTAACCAACAACTGTAACCAACCACTGTAACCAACAACTGTAACCAACCCCTGTAACCAACCCATGTAACCAACCACTGTAACTAACCCATGTAACCAACCACTGTAACTAACCCATGTAACCAACCCCTGTAACCAACCAGTGTAACCATCAACTGTAACCAACCCCTGTAGCCAACCCATGTAACCCACCTGTGTAACCAACCCATGCAACCAACCAGTGTAACCATCAACTGTAACCAACCACTGTAACCAACCAGTGTAAATGTAACAACTCTAACCAACAACCATAACCAGAAACACAGAATTACCCAGCAAGTGGTAGAGACGTGATGATGATGTGTCTCTGGAGTCCACAACACTGCGCTCAAACTTCTTTACACCCAAGTCTGGGTCGTCCATGTCTTTCTGTGTGAATAAACCATTTGCCAATTTATACACAATAAGTAAACAAATTCTTGTTTGACACTTAAATGTGTACTACAGGAAAATGCTAAATTACAGTTAACATATCAGTATTAAGCTGGGACTTAAGACTCCATTTAAAACTTTTAAAGGTGGGGAACTTGTTAATAAAAAATAATGTGTACTCACCATCCTTTGCTGCCACTCTGTGAGATGTTTTTCCAACATTTGTCGAATTGATGACAAAAGTGCATGCGTCTCCCTGTGGCATTTGGTCTCTAGGTCATACAGCATTGTTAGAAATTCATTCCGTGCTCTCTGACTTAAGAGATACTCAATGATCTGTTAAAAAGTTACAGAAAAGGTCTTTTATAATTAATTTTGAACTTTTTAAAAATGTTGTTAAGTAAAAGGCATTTAAGAAGCTCTGACTTATAAGGCTAATGATCCGTTAAAAAGTTGCCAAAAAGACTTTTATGATTATGTTCAAACTTTTTTTTTTTAATGTTGTTATGTAAATGGTATTTTAGAAGATAAGATACGGCTACTTTGATCTACAACAATGATTTACCTTCTCTTGATTTTTGGTAAAATATTCTTGACGTTTCAATTTCAGATCATAGTCTCCTGTCAGTATTTCAGTTCCCTGTAAACTTCCCAACTCATGCAACAAATCTGGCAGTGATGCTACCAAGGCAGAGGCCTCTGCTTTTGCTGCTTCTATGCTCTGTTCTGTGCTATGGTGGAGGCGGCTGCCGACAAAGTGACAGGACATAGTTTGAAATGGAATGTTAGTGTTACATATGGGACTGAGTGGCCTAGCGGTAGAGAGCTAGACTGCTAACCCGTAAGTCTCGAGTTCGAATCCAGGTTCAAGTAAGTAGACCGTCCCTGAGTCCACCCAGCTCTGATGGGTACCTAACTCACGTTAGGGTAAGTAAAGGCGGCTATGCATAGTGCTGACCACACTATCCCTTCATATACTGAGGTCACAGAAACAAGTGAACTCTACTTCACTTGCCCCATAAACTGTCAGGTTTGAAAGGGAACTTTACTTACTAAGTGTCACATGGTAACGGCCTGGTCTAGTTTAAGACAAATCAATAAAATTGTACCTGATTTCTGAGGGTGATGTGGGAAACTGGCCAGATTTCAGTTGGTGGAGTATGGACCTTGCCTCGTGAACAGCATTCAATGCTTTCTTAGCCCTAACTAATGCATTTATGCGGTCACATTCACTTTTTGGAAATCTGTGAGAATATAATTATTAATTAGTTTTTTTAAATTCCTCTAAATACTCTAATGCCTATGGGTATTATTCTCATTTAGACTCAAGCTAAATCAAATAAATTATAATTAGCCTTGTAGAAAAAAAAATGCTTAATTAATATTTATACACATGCAAAAAAGTTAAGATTTTAGTGAACAGGTTGAACACTTAAAAATCAAAACATTTTTTTAAAACTTAAAATAATTTTTTTAATAAATTCTGTCTTTATTGATATGTTCTATATTTAAGACTGCCTTTAAAAGTTGAGCAAATACTCTAACATATTCTCTATCTTTATGAATAAATTCTCTAACATATGCCCAATCTACATTATAACACACATTTGCTGCAGACGACTAAATTCCTCGCAGTCTTCAAGGAAACTTGCATTTTCTTCACCATCAACTGCAAGTTTTTCTGGTGAACTAACATCCAGAAGACCATACTGTGAACCATCTTTTTCCCCTGCGAGATCTGCAATCCCCTAAAAAAATTATATTGAATATCATGAAAATCTTTGTTTCAGTTTTTTTAAATGTCATTTTTTCAGAAACATTTGACGTCAGACTGAAGGAATTAAGTAAGTTTTTAAACTACCTAAAAATACAAGTATGCAGGTTCTTAGACTAATTTATAGTATATTGTTCATATTCTTAAACTTACTTCATTGTAAAAAAACAAACTATTCAACATGGCAAGTACATACCTCAAAAAACTGTTTTTTAGTAAATGCTGTCAGCTCTCTTGAATATTTTTCTTCTGCTTCATTATATGCCTTTAAATCCAAATGTGATAAAAATGGAGAGTTGGGGGAAGACTCTGCGTTCTCTCCCTTTGGAAGCTGGTAGAGGGTAATCAGAGTCTGGACACTCTGCATCAACTTTTGAAGTGATTCATTAATCTAGGAAATGATAGAAAGCATAATAGAGATTTAGGGGGTAAAAGAAATTGAAATCGGATAATACATTAAAAGTATAATGAATAATCATAAAATTTAAAAAAAAAAAAAACTCTCCTACTTTAATATTTTCTAATCCACATTGGTCAATAACTTGATGGCATGCTTTGATGCTTTGTTCCTCAACTTCCTCCATCTTTGTTACTTTGTTGACCAATGCCATGTGATGAACACTGAAGGTAAAAACTAAATCTATAAATAAAAGTATAGGGCTACCACACTTTTACTTTCTATACTAAGTAATATTTGTACCAAGTTTCTAAAAGATCAACATTAAAACATTCTCTGATAAATTATCAACTGTAAAAATATTATCCTTTTAATGAGCATTACTTTTATTTTTTAGCTGATACATGGGTAAAATAAATGTCTTAAAGTATTCAACTAAATAAGTAAAACATGTATATTTACTTTAACTTGTTACAGCGACTTTTCAAGGTCTCCTTTTGCAGTTTGGTTCTTGCTAAAGTTTCTTTCAAGTGGTCAATATCTTCACTTAGACAATAAAACAAAAAAAAAAACAAATTTACAGACCTAATTAAAAAAAAATTGTTAAATCTTATAAAAACCATCAGAAGTACTAACAACAATGTCAACAGCAAAGCAGAAGCAAATACTGTTAAAACATACTTTTACTTCAATTATACAACAGTGAAAATTTACTCACTCTATATCTTTTATTTTCTGGCTATCATCTGTGCCCAATGCTTTTAAAGCCTCCTCCAAGTAAGGGCCACTCAGTACCATGCCTGATTCTTCAATTTCTTTATACCTGAAAAATAATTTGGTTCAAATTGATGCAATCATATTGTCAATGTTTTTTAAAAATATTTTGGGTTGAGTCATCAAAGTTATTTTAAAAACATGCTTAATTGCTATAACTCAAGCTCGCTTAGAAACAGTTAACTTTTAAAAAGTTATTGATCTATATATATAAATCATAAGTCACTTTAAAGATTTCCTTATGTGAATAATTAATTAAGATATAGAAAATATGAGCCGACCCGCGGTGTATCATTTGCCGCTATTTAGTTGTTTTATTTTCTACTTTTCAGTAATTCATAATTTGTGAATTCGACAGTACCAACGCTGCCACTGAAAATATTTGCTTTAAAACACTATCAGTAGCTCGTTAAGGACGATAACCCTCCCCCTCCTTTCCCCAACCCCCACCCCACACTCCCCCCCCCCCCCCCCCCCATGAAAGTAAACTCCTCTTAGTTAACTCCCCTAAGTTTAAAATTGTTTCAAAATAAATTATCTGCCCCTAATAGCCGTCACTAACCCCGGCTCTACGATTGTAAGCATTTAGCGTGAACCACAGCTCACCAGACCATGTAGGGGTGGGGATGGTAGGGAGCGCTCTTACAGCTTGGTGTTTTCTATCGCCTCCAAGAAGAGAATTATATATAGATAGAAAGGTATCTAAGAAGCATAGAACTAATATACTAATTGTGACAGTGGAGTATGAAGAGAAAAATAGTGTATCTAACATTTGCTCTAGGTGTTTTGATAAACTGTTGTCAAAATGGAAGATTTTCTGATTATAAATTGCAGTCACTATTGTAATTTCTTGTTCTTAAATGCACCACACAACTGAGTTAGTTTCTTCTCTCCAAATATGGTTTCCTATATATTAGCTGTACACATTTCATTAGTATAATAGCAGAGTTTGATCATGTTAACCACACTCTTAAATTTTAACCACATTAGTATCAAGATTTTTTGCTAGAAAGTTCCAGTCTTTTACATGTAATTTCTTTGATAAATGTCGCTTCTTTGATTTGCTTACAGAAAGTTTGAAAAATAATTCCTAATAAATAGTTAAAGTAACTTTCAATCCAAACATTATGGAGGCTTAATGCGGCAAAGATCGTCTAGGTTTTGTTGGTACGAATGAACATGTGTGCAAATAATATGCAATAACTATACCAGTGGTTCTCAACCTGCATTTTGATCGAACCCCAGGGTTTTGGTTAGCCCATCTCAGTGATTCAGCACTGATAGGAGGGTTCATTCATTGAAGGTTAAGAAACACTAGGCTGTACAATAGACCTAGTCTGAATGACCTGTCGAGGCTATACTGGAGCTCATTCTGCTAGAGATTCAAAGGGCCGATTCTAATCTAAGTATTATCCTAATTTATTATTAGCCTATTAGGCCTAAAAATCATTAAATCTAGGACTATAGTTTATTAATCTTAATTAATCCAATGCCTCTACTTTCTTCTTATTCGTTTTTAATTTTAGTGTTGGAAGGGATTCCCTACAACTCAGTTTTCAGCCTGCTTTTCTTTTTGGATTTGCTTCCATTGGTGCCATAGCCTTGTCCAACCAAGAACAAACTACAAGGCAGCTGTTGTTTGATTTTGGAGTTGTTTCTTTTGGAAGAGTTGCTGTCCCAGGGTTCAAACTCAAGACTTATCGATTTAGCAACCATGGCAACTCAACCACGCCAACTTCTACACCCAAGGCCAACCGATAGGCCCCAATAATTAAAAAAATATAGGGCCTAGGCCTATATTTTTAGAACACTAGGTTACATTAAAATTAATTAATTTAATCATTTCATTAAGTAAAGCCTACACTACATGACTACTGTCATTTTTTTCATTATGAATTATGACATTAGGTCTAGGCCTACACATTATTAAATTAGTCATTATGATTAGGGTGTTTAGGCCCTATTGGCTATTAAAATAAATTATTATATAATATAGGGTGATAGACTGATAGGGATAGGGCCATAGATTGGCATAGATGCCTATTTTATTTTTATTAGGCCCTAACTAAAGTAAAAGTAACTATAATAATCATAATGCATCCTTAGTTGGTGGATCTAAATTATTCTAAATCTAGATCCAAATAAATCACTCACTCTTCCAACTCTTCTTTTGTCAAAACATTGTCTTCACTGATATTATTACAAAACCACTCTAAAAAAGGTAAAGTCGATGGGTTTTCAAAAGCCCATTCAAGTGCAAGGGGATCCAACGCATTGGAGCCTGGATATCCAATTCGTTTCAGAGTTTCAATAAATTGATGTGAGGACATATTGTGATTTAACAAGGATCCGGTACTTCAACTCTTGTAGAATCTTAATACAATTTCATCTTGAAATTAACACAGACTAAGATTATGAATGTATGAAGAAATTCGTGTTTTTGATTTGGCTTGTTTTGTATCTGGATTTGTAGGTGGCTTTATTTTTATTTTGATTACTCCTCGATTAGAAATCTAGATTCTACTTTTTTATTGGGTAAATTTCACATACGGAAATGAACCTAACCAATGAAAACAATTGTCATATAAAACTGTGATGGCGGTCTGCACAAAAGTTTGTTACTGAGATTCAAAATAAAAAGATAAAAGGTATTTTAGTTTGCATAACGTATTAAAGTGTCGTCGATTTTTTAAAACATCGACTAGATATCTACACTTCTAATGTCTTTAAAATATTGACATGGTACATATTACATTAATCTAGATTTTAGATTGTAATCGTGGTTATTGTTTCATTGTTTTGCCTTGAATCAGCCTTTGCAGAGTTTGCGGCCCTTAACCACTTTCACTTTGTCTCCTAGAAATCTAATAACTTTTTTTTCAGTTTTTTAACTTTATATTAACTTATATTTGTTTGGTAGATCTAGAGGCTAGACTAGATTCTAGACTCTAAATCTAGTCAAATCTTAGCATCTAGCTTTATTCTTTTGAATCTTAATTCTTAAACATACAAAAAATGAAGTATGATGAATCATTCATTGAAATGAATTAAATTCAATTAATTAATAATTATTGATTCATGAATGATTCAATTGAATGTATTGTATGCTAAATCAAACAACTACACTAGCCTAGACTCTGGCTAGACCTAGTGGCAGTGGACTCAGTTACTAGACTAGCATTAGCAACTTATTATTACCACAAGACATCTAGATCTAGCTAGCTACTTTACTACTGTGTTGGTTGTGTACTGTTGTCTGTCTATTGTCACTATTCATCACTATTGTCATTGACTATTGTTGAGCACTGTGTAGTAAAGTGTGTAGTGTAGTACTCCATAGTGAGTAGTGTGTTACTGTAGTTACTGTTAGCCAGAGTGTGATAGGTTTTTATTTTAGACTCTCTACACTCAGACTCTGGCTTAGACAGTATAATTTAAAGAAGAAAATATAATTCTGAGCGCATGGAGAAGTAACACTTAGAAAAAATTAGTATAAAAGAGGAGGGGTGGGGGGATTATTAAGTATACACTATAGGGGCCTACAGTACAGCCTTAGTATTAAAAAGGATATCAGGAGTATTAACAGTGTTGCTAATTGATTTTTATTTTAGTAAATATTTTAACACAAAACACATAGGTTTTTATAAATTGTAGGCCTATATGGATGATTCATTCTTTTCTTTTTTGGTAGGCCTAAATGAAAATACACAATCACAAGTACACCTATCAACTATATAATTTTGATGCATTATTTTTTATATAACTAGGCCTATATTGGGCATACAAGATAATAGTGACATGAAAAATAATTTATTTTCATTCTTATTTGTAGGCTGCCTGTATTGTTTTACTATACTTATACACCAAATTAAAATCATGGAACCTCAACATCCTCTCATAGTAAACAACCCTTTCCATCAACTCAAGGGTATTGGAAGGTATAATTTTCATTTTATTATTTAGTCAACTGCTAATATACATTTATATCTGAATATTTGTTAATATAAAATAGCCCATTTTAATTGTTTAATACTTTAAAATTTAAAAAAAATATAATGTATTAAAGTTGTGTTAATAAATATGGTAGTTTTAGTTTAATTTAAACCAGTCTTTAAATGTTAAGTTTCTTAACTATATTATATTTTTACAGGAGGACTGGAAAACTCATAGTGAAAAAGAAAAACATCAATGCAGAAGATAGTGACATAGAGGATTATTTTTCTGGTGCAGGTAAGTTTTATTATAACAACTGGGAAGTCTAATAATTAAAATGCAATGTAAGCTTATATGTGAAGAGGAGGAGACAGCTTTAAAATCATTGATATATTTATATGGCAAAAATTGTTTTGTTTTTTAAGATGATGATGAAAGTGTTGATGTGACAAGAGAGTCTTTGCTGTCAAAAGAGAAGCTAGAAAGTATTTTGAAAGATGATGATGATGATATAGGCAGTGCCCCTGCTGCTGATGTTTCAAAAAATAAATTTGCTATACCATTGGTTAACTCAGCTAAGCAGTCCTTGTCAGAGGTAGTATATGTGTTTCAACATTTTCTCTAATTGTATATCTTATTAGAAGTGGGGGGAAGCTAATTTAAACCATGTAAATTTTTATAAATTTACTGACAATTGTTTTTAGTTATAACTTAACAGATGTTTGATTATGGTTATCTAATCCTCAATTCATCATTAATTACCACCATTTTTATCATAATAAGATTACCACTAATAACAGCTAGATGTAAAAATAACAGTCCCTGAAACATGTTTCACTGTATCAGCTATTTATCCCACTAGAAATTAAATTAGTTTTATTCAAAACATTTTAAATAGTTGATATTTATTGGACTAGAAATAATCAATAAGCTTTGTTATTGGTTACAGAATTTTAAAAATAGGCTAACAGACATGTATTTATATTATGTGCATTAATACATTCAGGATGATGAGATTAGAGTTGTCAACCCTTTTGCTTGGAATCCAAGATATGGGAGGTAATACCTTTCCTTAATATAGTTTTACTATCCCACCTGTCACTGTCTTACAAGAATGCTTTAACTTTAACATCCTATTGTAATAAAAGGAATATGAAAAAAAAAAGTAGAATGCAGGAAAAGATACAGTACCTAACAAGAAACACTAATATAATGACATTGATAATACATAAAATTACACCCTAATCTGTCTAAATTTTAATATTAATAATTATGAGAAAACAAGTTAATTAAAAAGTCTAGTGACAATTTTAGCGCAATTTCCTTATATCGAACCTCAGCTTATTAATACGGTACAAAAATAACGTTTGATTTAATAAGTAAATTACATCGAGATAAATCATATATTGAGCAAATAAATAATGCAACACAAGTAGTTTTAATAATTCAAAACAAAATAGAAAAAATATTTATTAACGAGATTTTTAAAAAAATCCTTTCGAACCTCCGCTCATTCGCTATGGTAAAATCCTTTCGAACCTCAGCTTATTAATAGGGTACAAAAATAACGTTTGAATTAATAAGTAAATTAAATCGAGATAAATCATATATTCAGCAAATAAATAATGCAACACAAGTAGTTTTAATAATTCAAAACAAAATAGAAACTAGCCTCCCGTATCAGTCGAAAAAAAAGGGGAGAGTAGCCTCCCGTATCAGTCGAAAAAAAAGGGGAAAAATTTAAAAAATCCTTTCGAACCTCCGCTCATTAAAATCCTTTCGATCCTCAGCTTTTGCGCTAAAAACCTACAAGACGCTCAGTTTAAAAATTCTTAATTAATTTTTTGTGACCGAACGAAAGGATATTTTTGAAAACTTTCTTCGGCAATATTGGTTTAAATTATGGCAGGAATCGATTGGTAAATGTTTCAAGTCGCTAAGTGGTCTGGTTGCCTAGATATGTAGCAAAAACTGAATTTGTTCGAGGTTTTTTGGCTTTTACGGGAAATCCATGAAAGAAACCCGGAATTTTTATGGCCTATGTTCATCCTCGTAACTGGCTTAACATAATTGCTTTTGGAACTAGTCATCGATATTGCTTCGTTGAGGAGGAGATACGACTTAAAGCTGCGGACACACATTCATCCATCCATCCATCCATCCATCCAGAAATGACGGGTTAATAAACGCAATTCTCCAGAATGGAAATTGCGCTAAAAAAATTTAAAATATTATGCAGATCGGAAAATAGGCACATCAATTTATCCCATTTTATTATTCTCTCTGGCAAAATCACCTTGTCTTAATATAGTTATGCTATACTATTTCAAATTTCATTGTGCTTTTATTCTTAAACTGTATTGTTTATATAATTTCAGGAGAACTGGTAAAGACCTTCTGGCTGGGAAAGAGGACAAAAACATGTCCAGATTTAGTGACTTTTTCACTGACAATGGTATGTATATAAACATGTAAAGTTAAAAAAAAATAATTACATATAATTGTTAGGATGGCTAATACTATGATCCATTTTAAAATATAAATCTGATTTTATGATTTAAAACCTTAGTATATAATGTTCTTTTAAAGATGAAACTTTATTAAAACCTCACACAACTACTTCATTTTGTATTCATTGTTTGTTCTTGATATAATAAGTTTAATGCTACCTTGTATATCAAACTGTTTAACAAAGTCAAATTGATTTTTATTTTTTAAATAACTAAAGTATTTATTTTAAAGTATGACAATTAACCCTGTCTTTTCATCTTTGTAGAAGTTAGTGTGTCAATGCTTCCAACGCCAAAAGGCTCTGTCACAAGGTCTACAACTGTAAGTAATTAATTTTTTTTATATTTCTCAAACATAATCAGACATTCCTTCCTTTAACTTAAAAATTACGTAGTACATACGTAGCCTTCAGCATTTGTTGTTCATATGTATGGCCTAGTATGTAATACATTAAGTATTATTTAGATGTAGCGTTGAGACTAGAGGCCTACTAAACAAATACCTATTTATGCTACTTTGTATAATGACAATAGACTTATTTTAATTATTTATTTTTATTTTCAACTTAGTAAAGAAGCATCCACATGCATGTTCCTTATTTTGGTTTCAAATTCCTCTTTTTATGTATGATGTTATGTTCCTACTTTGGGTCACCTAGGGTAAGAATGTCTGCATCATCATTTTTTTTTACACTTGTGAAAATGTATGCTGTAAGAATTGTGCTGACTGCAGACTTTAATACAAATCCTGTATTCCAAATAATGAAAATTAGTTGCATTAATTTTTACATTGTAAATAAAATTTTAAATTGTAATATTGTATTATTTTTCTTAAAGATTTTAAAAGATAATTATATGGGACTTGTATTTATTTTAATTACAGGCTTTGCTTGCAACAAGTACAGATGGTCTTTCTTCAAACAAAAAGCATTTAAAAATGAATTTGAATAACATTGATACAAATGATGAACCTGATCACATGACAAGAACTATTACACCTGAAAATTCTTTACACGCAGACCACTCAGATTCTGGTGATGTTGAACTAAACCAGCCTGACAGAGACAGCAGCAAAACTAATTTGTATGCTACAGGGTGCCCAAATAATGTCAACACTTCAGAGAATAACAGTAGATTCTTTGTGGCAAAAGTTATTTTTAGTGAAAAAGATGTAAATAAATCCACTAGAGAAGGTCATCATTCTATTGAACATTCTCTTGCAGTTTCAGTAGACCCTGAATGTATTTTTCCAAGTTCGGAAAAGAATTCTTCACATTTGAATGAACAGGAAAACACAGGCAAGAGAGAGCACTCTAGTGAATTTCTTCCAATAGACGCAGACTACTATCTACCTAGCATTTCCACATTTCTTAGGCAAAAAGATCACCAAACCACTCGCACAGAATCAAACGAACCTTTGAATTCTACTTTATCAAAAGACGCACAGCAAGAGGAAGGCATGGTCAAATCTGTGAAAAAAACTGGCAGTAAATCCAGAAGTGTCAATAGGAGTAAACGAATCCCTGATAAAATAAGCTGGCATACCACACTACCTATGGGAAATGAACAGTTAAATGTTCAGTTGCCTGACCTTTCCCATGGTCCTAAAATTGATATTTCTTCCAGTTCCATTACTCCAATTGAATCTGTCAGGTTGGTTAGTGAAGGTCTCGTAGTAAATCCTGGTCTAGAGCCATACAAAATCATCCAGGTAAGTAATTTTAGTGTACAATAAAATTTCCAGTTGTAAGTAAATTGGTTGATTTTAATTGTTTTCTATAGCAAGTACCCATATAGTGAATATTGATATATCACCGTTTATATACTTTTAATGAAAAATTGTACTATATCTAGTCATCATTGGAAGAACTTGAGGCAAAGACAGTCAGAGCAAAAACAATGGCAGTGCCACTTGACTTTGGTGGGGATATAACTGGCTCTGTTTCCAACACTGAGAAAGTGGCAGCTGGTCAGTTTTTTGGAATTAAGAAAAGGTAACATTTTATTTCTTGTGTGACGTTTTGGTGTAGCATTTAAGTATTTTTAAAACATGAAGTCAATATTTACTATATTTAAATATATTTTGGTGTAGCATTTAAGTATTTTTAAAACATAACGTCAAATATTTACTATATTTAAATATAGACTGTCATACTCTGTGGCATTAGCTGGAGGGGATGGTAAAACAGGAAGAGCTGAACTACTTAGGAATAGTAACAAGACAATTGATGTCATTATGTAAGTTTTTATTTAAAAAATTATGTATGATGTATTGTATTTAGTAAATATTTTTTAAATTTTTTCAAATTTTATAAAAATATTAACTTAAACAATACAATTTTCCATTTCAAATTTATGAATACTGTTTAATTAATTAGCATGAATTACAATTACTCTTTACAGGGATAACCAATACACTGTCCCTTCACCTTTCATCTCCCTATATCCCAAGAGGGTCTCTGAGATTGAGCTCAATAGATTTCCACCTCAGCCTCCGCCAGTGTCTCTAGACACCAGCACAGAAAATTTTTGCATTGTGGATGAGAACATTATAGTTGCAACCAAACACCCAGTTCAACAGAAAACTGCTGGGAAAACACAAAGACAGAGAAAGAAATCTGGTCAAGGACAAGCTGAGAAAAATAAAAACGCTGATAAGAAGTTAACACGGAATAGTGATGTTGTTCTGGAAGTGCCTGAAAGTTCTACTATACATGAAAAGTCTGTTAACGTTCAAGAAAATCAAAATTTAATTTCTTCAGACAAACAAGATGCAACAGATAAAAACACAGAAAGCTCACCCACTAGGTCACCTGAAGTTGAACTATCCTTGAACCCTAAACGTAGGAAATCTAAAAATATGAACAAAAGTAATAATTTAAATAAAAGCCAAACAAAGTCAAAGAATGACCAGACAGCAATTCACGCTACTGAAGCTCAAATAAGTGCCAACGTTTCAACTACACAACAAAGGAAAGTTGTTGACAACCAGTTCTTTGATGATAACTCTCAAGAGAATCAAAATTTGATTCCATTAGACCTACAAGATGAATTAGATAAAAACACAGAAAGTTCACTCACAATGTCACCCAAAAGTGAAATATCCTTTAACCCTAAATGTAGAAAATCTAAAAATCTTAATAGAAGTAACAAATTAAATAAAAGCAAAACAAAGTCAAAGATTGACCAGGTGTCTATTGCCTCTACTGAAGTTGAAACCTATGTCAGCGTTCCTATTTCACATAAAAGGAAAATTGTTGACAACCAATGCTTGGATGAGATTGAGACCAATGTGATAGAGAAATCAACAGGAGAGAAAAGTAAAGACTTGAAGAAAAACCAGGCTAGACATAAAAAGAAAGGTAAAGAAATGCCAGCTCAAGAAGAAGCATCACCACCTAAACAAATAAAAATGTCTGAGAAACCGGTCAAACACAAGGATAATGCCCCTACACCTCCAGTCAAAAGTGCAGTACCTGATAGACCAAATACACCCCCGCCTAAGTCAACTAAAGCTAAAGCCAAACACAAGAAAAATAAAAAGGATACAAATTCACAGACATCCGAGCTCAAATCTCAAAGTATTTTATCCAAGTCTAAAGTAGTTGAAGGAAAAAATATTGAGGAAAGCACAAAAAATGCAAGTTCTTTAGAAGAATCAGATAGCAATGGAAGCCGAAGAAGTGGTAGAGTGAAGGTCTCAGCTCAGCCTGTCCAGTACCCGTTCTTTAAACAAAAAACTAAAGAAAAACCTGCCACAGCTACTGTTCCTAGAAGAACCAAGGGGAAGAAATCTAAGAGCCAGAAAGTTCGGGATTCAAAGAGGCACGGCGCTACAAAATATGTGCCTGCGACAAGAGCTTCCAGGCGAAAAGCTGGGTTAAATCACAAGACAGTTCTTTCACCACAAGAAGAGGAACAGGAGTTTAGCTGTAATGAGGAAGAGGGTGGTGAAATAAGCGAGGAAGATGAACAAAAAACTGAAGAAAAAATCTCAGCTGTCGGAGTAAAATCTAATTTAAAAACCAAAGGGGATTCAAGTACTTCAAAACTTGAATTAGTTTGTGATAATTCAATGAGTCGTGAAAATGCTAACATGAAATCTAGATTTTCAAGTCCCCGTCGAGAAAGTGACATTCAAATTGGTCAAGTTCCATTGGTTGAATCTATAAATACCCCAAAGTCTACTAGAAGATCTTCGTCAACAAAAAGCAACAAAATATTGGAGCTAGGGGCGAGTATATCATCAAACAGTGGTGATGCTGGTAACACAAAGCATGCAGGGAAACTACCTGAAGAACCAGCTGTTTCCCCAGGTGTTGAAAACAATGAACCTTTTAAAAAATCCACCAAGAAAGCGAAACCAAACAAATCTGTTGGTAAAACAAGAAAAAAGGTAAGCCTTGTCCATCAGACAATTATAGAATGTGATACAGAAGAAGAAAATAATTCTCTACACCCACACAGCTTTAAGAAATCATTATCAAAGGGTAGGTCTTCTTCCAGCTCAAAATTTCAGAAATCTCTTACATTAGAAACCAAAAATAACAACAGCTGTTATATTGACAGCCCTAGTGAAAAGGTACTAGTTGTTGAGTCACCTCATAGCCCAAACACTGAATCTCCACAAGATGACGTAGTCCCAGCACCCAGCATCAGTTCAAGGATAAACACCAGTATAAACTCTACACGCCATGAACAATTTAATACTAGTAAAACTCAGTCAACTAGAATGTTGCCAGAAAAAGATAACAACATAAATAAGAATGATTCCATTGCTTGGGAAGGATCTGAAGAGCAAAGAAAACCAAGGAGATCTCAAGCAGGTCGTATGAGTCAAACAGGAAACAGGAGAACATCGAAAAAACTGTTGCAGATAGATGACAAAAATGAAGGTGGGTTTTTCAATTATGGTTTAGTTACTTGTCATTTTATCTTTCTACAAAATACAAACTTGCATTTTGTTTAATGAATTTTTTTAGTGCATAAATCGTAAATATGTATTTTGTTTTAAAAAATTTACAGACTGTACCACACCATTGAAGTTGCGACTTCTTTCAAGTTTACCCAACATAACACCAAAAAGTGGTGTCTCGTTTAGGCATTCAAGATACCTCACTTCTTCTGTATTAGAAAGTGAAGAAAAGACCCCAAAATCTAGTAGGTGTATTTTTAAATTATATATATAATCTTTTCATGTATGATTTTAGTTGTGAGAATTTTTTAACTACCTAAAGAAATAAAAAAAAATATTGACCTAAATTACTTAAAATGAATTTTTTATGGAAATATTTATTTTGTCACTGTATATTTCCCGTCAGTAAAACCAAATACACCAATTACTGCTGGCCTCACTTCATGCATCAGAGACACCAGCTCAGTAAAACCTAAAAGAAAAGGAAGAAAAGTTCGAATCAGTGAAATTATTGACCAGCATCTGTTATCTCCCACTGAAGGTATGTCTTAATTGTTTCATAGCATTTTTTATTTATAAATGCATTAGCTGTTGTTAATATGCAAGTTTTTTAATTGTAATAAATTTTACCTTGATCAAAGGGATATTATATGTTAAGGCAAATTCAAATGAAAAGCTAGAATTATGTAGTTTTTACTCTATTAGACCCCCTTATCCACAGAGTTTGAAAAAATTTACACTTTCTTGCTAATAAACATCAAAACACTTTCAGCAGCTAGAAAACATTTGTACAAATTGAAAGAATTAAACATCTAACTGTACTACCTTTCCCTTCCTGTAATCAGTAGATACGTCAACCACTGCAACAGTAAACAACACTACCTTGATGTCAATGAATTCAAGCCCTGTTCACTATGCAGAGACTACAGGAATTGGAGGACAGCTCAACACTACCTCACCATTCATGGTTTTACCTGACCTTTCTCATAAAATCGGTACAGCTTGTTGTGACCATGTTGTTTTATTTTTCTCCTTGTAAATAAATTCAAACTTAATATAAAATAGTTTGTCCACAAAAATTGTATTTAACAAAACATGACTGTGTATGATCACTATCTTGAAACTCTTCATTTAACAAAACATTACTTTTTCACATTGCGACAAAAAAAAATTATTTAATAAAAAAATTTGATTTTCCACTTGTTGTAGTACAACCTGAGTCTCCACCTTTTCCTGGCCTGCGCAGATCCAGAAGAACCAGAGTAAAACGTTTAGCTTCCCATAAAGGTGAAGGGATCATCTACAGGCGCGACAGTACAGGTAAAGCATTCTTTTATAGTTGTATGTTTTATTTTACAAAAAAAATTTACTTTGTTTACGTTTTTATCCTTCTCGTAATGTTTCATGAAACAATCTCCTGATATATATTCTCAGGCTACTGTTTGGTGGTAGATGGTGTGCAACCCAGCATTGGAGAAGCAAAAGTCAAAGCTAAAGAAGAAAAACGAAAGAAAAAACTTAAAGAAAGAAAATGTAAGTTAATGTGAAAGAAGAAAAAGTGTTTAAAATATTTTATTTATTTTTTATTCCATTCGTATAATCTTAATTGTTACAATGGTTTTGTGTTAATACAAGTATAGTTATTATTAACTCTAAAATCTTGTAAAAATTTTCCAGAAGTTACAAAACAGTGATGTTATTACCTTGTTCTTTGTCAGAATAAATAAAAAACAGTTGAAAAAAATAAACAACACACATTGCTGCTTATCTTAGTAGCTGTTTCAAAATGAGTTATTTATGTGCATAGAGCTTTAGATTTAGATTGTTAAAAACTTATTGTAGTACATTTGTCTGTGAAATTAGCACCCTTCTTATGGCGTAACCCATGTATCCACAGTGAAACTGGCTAGAGTACCACTGAGAAAGAACAAACGCTTGTCTACACACATGCACCCTACGCAGGATGTAACCTTGAGTACTGATGTTCCCATCATTGATCCAGATACTCAGGAGAACGTTGTAGTTGGTATGTCTCACGTTTAAGAAAAAAAAATTTAAGTAACATTTGCGCCAATTCTACCTTCAGTAATATTTTTTTTAAATATTTAATGAAGAAATAAATTACTTATTTTTAAAATATTTATTTGGCTCTTCAACTGATTTTAGACTGCTAGTGTTACTTTAGTTTTATTGTAATTTCTTCCTTTATTTTACTTACACCTTGCTGAAAATTTGCTGTTACCTATTGCTGTTTTGTTGTTTTACATTTTATTCAGATTTTTAATTAATTGTGATGTTTAACTTTTAAAAATATATTATTCATAGTACAAAAGTAGACACTTATGAAAGCCTCTCATTGAACTATTGTGGTTTGTTTGACTTTTGCAGAAGTGCTTTCCCGCTTTAGTGATGTGACGTGGTTTGGTCCATCACTGGAACCTGTCCAGAGTTTGGATTCTCTAGCTGTTGGCCTCAAGCTGCAGCACCCTGGCTTCAGTACAGGAGAGATTCACATTAGAGCTCTGTCAGAGAAAGAGGAGGAACTTGCAACAAGGACACTGGTTTGTTTTTTAGTTGAACGAGAGCACTGGTTTCTTTTATAGTTTAACTAGAGCACTAGTTTGTTTTATAGTTTAACCAGGGCACTGATTTATCTATAGTTTGGACCATGGCACTGGTTTGTTATATTGTTTGAATCATGACACTGGTTTGTTTTGAGTTTTATAATTAAAACAAAAATTTTTACAAGAATCACTAGCTGCCATTGTGTGTAGAAAGAAATTTGATCTTCTGCATTTTTCACTTTAATAGTTTTTAAAACCTGAGAAACTATTTCTTTCCTCAGATTTTCCATGTTATCAATGGTAAAATTTGTGTTATAATCAACCAAGTTTCTGTAATTGTTGAAACCAGGGATGATTTTTGTATACCAAGAGGTGATTCATATTTTTATTTTTAGTTGTTGCTTTAGTTAAACACATTGGTGCATATTTTTAAAAATGTAATCATTGACTAAAATTTGTTTTCTGCCTGCAATTTTTTGATGATACTTCTCTTATGTTAATTTTGTAATGTTAAAAGTGTTACAATTTCTATAAAAGTTTTCAAAACTTTTAAAATGACTACTTATTAATAAAAATGTTATAATTTGTGCCAACAGGTTCTGTGTACTCACTCAAAAACCTGCGTAGAGATGTGGCTGAACTACAGTTTACAGAAATCAACGATGTACCTGATGTATTGATTGATAGATAGACTTGTTGATGTACAGTATATATGTTACAACAGTGTAAATATGCACATTTTAAGAATTTTTTTTATTATCCTTGTATATATAGATATATATATATATATTGCAAACTACTTTTCTTTGTAAATAACAAATTCATCATTTAACGACACTGACCTTTGAACAAAAATGAACAACTTGTTTGTTAGAGTAAAAATATTTATTTACAAAATAATAAGGCAAATGAAAAGTTACATACATGAACTGTTATGTAGATGAAAAGATTAAGCATTGCAAGAAACTACCGTAGAGTGGTATGTTTGTATCATATATCTATTTAAAAAAAGGTGATTTATGTTTAGACAAAAAAAAAAAATGTTATAAACATATTTGATAATATTTTTAAATCAATTAAGAGATTGTAGTATTTAAAGTTAAATTTCAATACTTTTTTCCTCTCTTTTTCTGTTGATCTTTTATTAAAGTTTAATAATGTTAATGCAGTGGATTACTGTTTAACTTGAGTATTAAAATTTGAAATACAATTATATTAATTGAATTTTAAAACAAATAAATGTGTAAAATGACATTGGTATTTTCAAATTAAAAAATATGATTATTTGAATCTGTATGTTATGTTTTTATGTAGAGGATGTTTGAAAAAAGATTCATTAACTTTTAATCTAATAACAAATTTATTGTTAATGTAGAAATTGTGCACATTAATAGTGTTGACTTTTCGCTTTTAAGGAAATAACTTGATAATTCTATCTTTTAGATATTATTAAAGCACTTTTTAAAAATGTTGAATTTTGTAATATCACAAATTTTAATTATTTTTATCAGCTGAAAAAATTTAATTTACTTTTGCTCTTAGAGACAGTGTTCATTTGACTCAATAAATAAGGCATTTTTCTCATGTATATTTGATTTACACTTATAACATTAACAATAAATTGAAATATGTTATAACCTGGTGTTATTGTTTATGGTCCCTGAAGTTTTGTACAACCAGTCTTTTCATTAAGTAATACAGAAAGAAATTTTTTTTTTTTTTTAAAGTTTAAAAATTTAGTGTGTATGACCACAATTTTGAAACTCTTCATTTCATCAGGTTATGTTTTTGTAATAACATTAAGAAATTATCACAACAGCCATAGCAGTCCAAGTTTTAATTTTTACCCTTCACCATTTACACCACTTTCATCATCCCTGTTGTTTTGGTCCAGAGAAAATTTCAATAGAGCAACAAATATTTTATTCATCAGCAAACTGTGAGTGCTATTAAAGCTTATAGGCGTTTCTCATCATCAGGTCAAAGTAGGCGTCGCTGTCTATTGAAGCACTGACGCCACTGTAGTAATTCTCAAACTCTTCTTTGGTGATCTGTGGATTGCATGTTTTACCAGTTAGTGTTAAACTCAGTAGTTCAAGTTAAAATTTTCTACACTGTCAGTGTCTAAGGGAAAAAAATGTCAACATTATTATAATTTAAAAAATGACTTGGTCTTGTTAGATATGAATAATTATTATGAAATTATTCCGTCCAGTAAAACTGATTTTTAATAATTTTAATTTTAAGGGTTACAGCTATAGAGAGAAATGTTGAAATTCAGTTTAAAATTAGAGTTATTTAATCACCAAGAATGAAGGCAACTTACTGTTGTAATAATTCTGTTTGCACAACTCCTACCTTTATATTTATTTCAATTTCAGTCATAAACTAATAAGAACCATGAGATCTCATATCGATTGGGCATACACTTCTTAGCAACATATTAATATAAATAACAAAGCAAACATACTGATGTCTTGAAGTATGTATCAACATGAGCATAACAAACAATTATGCAGTCAGATTCTTGGTGATTTGAAGTTTGCATTGAATGCTGGATAAACAACTTTTCAAATAATGGTAACTGTTATTTTATGTTAAACTCAAATCACCCACAGAATCTTTAGATACACAACACAGAACCTGTTTACTCATGATAATACAATGGTTATCACTGACAAAAATTGCTTCAAAAATTCAAACAAGCAAAAAATACTACTTCTACACAATCATTACAAACAATGATTTTTTTTTATACTGCCGCAATTCCAGACACAAAAGCACTACTGTCTAAGCTCTAAGCATGCGGTGAGACTAAATTCATGCAAGTGAAAGCACACTATGTGATTTATTTTAAACAATCATCCTAACCTGATCATTTAGACCATAAATTTCATTTTCTGAATAAAAGTTAAACATTTTTTTATCTAAGAATATATCATTTATTTTAAAACAAGAGTTCCCTCTGAAATACAATTACATTTTAAATTCATTTTATCCCAGGAATTGCGTTTTAAAAAAAAATTTCAAGTAAAGAAATTCAAACAATAACACTTTTTACTAGTGTATAACAGTAATATTTATTTGTAAATGTAATACATGTATTAAAAAATAAACATGCATTGCTGCTATGTTGTATTAACTATATTAATTAGTAAATGAAAGCTCATTCTAAAACACTATTTGCCTAAAATGTAATGTATAAATTTAAAACTCTGTTTAATGTATAAAGAAAAAAAGCTTCTTAAATTATAAGCTTAAAACAAAATTTGAAAAGAAAAAAACAACAAATAATATATAGTTGAGACATTTCATTTCTTTACATTTTGATTTGAAAAGTAATTACACAAGTTTTTTTTATCCAAGCTTGATATTTATAACTGAATCTGTTTGTTTTAAATATAATAATTACTAAGAATTTTTTATATTTTTCTATTAAAACAGTTATGAAACTTATACTATAGATCAGGGGTCTCCAAACTACGGCCCGCGGGCCGGATGCGGCCCGCGAGGTCCTCACATCCGGCCCGCGGAGATCTTTTTGTTCAAGGAAAAATCGTTTGTTGGTGATGGCTGAGAAACTTTGCTCAGAAAAATCAAAGACATGCCTGGAATAAACTGGCTCTCGAACTGAAATTTGATAGTTAATGCGGCCCTCGGACTGAAAAGTTTGGAGACCCCTGCTATAGATTGACAACAGCTATAAAATAATAGATTTTGTATTTGAAGTTAACAATGTAACACCAAATACAAAATGTGTCTACAGACATCATATAAGGATCTACAATAACCCAAAACAAACCAAAGAAAAAACTATATTCCTAAAAATTTCATACAACAACACCAAATTATGAAAGTGTTTTCAGATCTAAAACTGGAGCCAAAGATACTGCCAGATGAAGAAACAAAGAAATGAAACAGCTTATTGTGTTAGAACCCTGTAAGCAAAATGTTCATCAAAACTGGACTGAAGCTATGCTAGGATAATAATTGAGCAAAGATATGAAAGCCATGTGAGAAGTCCAATCTTAAGATAAAAAATTTTGTGTATGAATCAATCATACTTTAAAAACAGATACTCCTAATGAATGTATTCACAATGTTAAAGACTTGCATGAAATAAAATTATCACCTCATTTGGGAAGAAACAAAACAAATATTTCCTAAGTAAAAAAATGGCTAAAATCCTGATGTTAGACAAAACTATAAAAAAAAAAAAGAGCTATTGACAAGTGAAAGGAAATATAAAGGTATCTCCACCATTTTAATTGGGAAGAACAAAACAAATATTGCCTAATTAAAAGAAAATGGCTGAAATCCTGATGGTAGACAAACATATGTTGTAAAAAAAAAAAAGAGCAATTGAGAAGTGAAAGGAAAATATTCGACAAGAAGAAATCTTGAAAAAGATATGTAAGGCATCTTATGTTGAAACATCAGCTGCTGTCAGAGAAGTGCTTACAGAAATAGTTGCCAGAGAATAAATCTGGCAAGTGTAAATACAATTTGATTACACCTGACATTATGCATGGATTTCATAAAGATAAAAATAACTAATATTAACATGATATAAATAAGTTAACAGCTACAATTTCCATGCATTTCGCATCATTAGGTCAAAATATGCATCGCTATCAATGGAAGCGCTCACACCCGTGTAGTAATTCTCAAACTCTTCCTGTGTTACCTGTAAATAGACAGCAGGTCTGCAAACAGATGTAATTAGGGTCCCCAAATACAATTTCTGAGCCCTTTGCATAAATTGTTTATCAAATAAGGAAGTAATTCTAAAATTAGAACCCTAAAATTCACTCAATATTTTATCTCAATATTTTCTATAGAATATTTGATAACTAAGGTAATATCATATTTTTGATCCAGCATATTTTCAAACGAGGTATTTCTAATCTTGCCATAACATACTATTCATTATTTCTCATTAAAAACAATGCATATATTTTCATTATAGGGTAGGTTCTTGAATTTTTTTTATTCAAGTTCCTAAAACACAGAATAATGTAAGTAATGTAGAGATTCTACATTAATGCAAATGAAGAATTATATAGGGATTTTGTCAGATGTGATAAGACATAATCCCACAAATTCATATTTTTATGATAATTAATTTAAAATGGAGAGTAGGAAAATTGTCTGATTTGTTAATTCCTTGAAGAAATGATACTAAATTTCTTGATTTTTAAAAATAAATAATGATACTTATTAGTTTGTGTCATAATAAACCTAAATTTAATATTCTGTATTTAATTAGCAGCAATTTCTAGACTATTGGCTGATTAATTTTTAATAAAAAATTCTCTTAACTTGTAATCCAAGTCATAACTGTATTACTAAATGCAATGTTATATAAATACACATTTTAAGAGAAAGTGGTTTATGCACATTTTTCTGTAATTAAAATATAATTTTAAGACAGCAAATTTTTCTTTTTTTAAATTTAATTTTAAAAAGTGAATCTATGACTTATATTTTAATATAACTTAACATTTAACAATTTGTTTTGATAAATAAGCAATTTCCCAACTTGCATAAAGAAAACTCTGAAACTATTTGCTGTGATTACTGTGAAATATAATGACATCCTAAGAAACAGTGTTAATTGATGGAAACCAAACAAAACTATTCTAACGTAACATGCATAGTTGTATATTTCAACTATTTTTATTAAAAATTATTTTACCACTCCCTTAAATGAAGCAAGTAAAAATATATTGTAATTACCAAAAACTTTACTACATATTAAATTTTTATCAAACTGAAATGTAAAAACTGAGAAGATACTATAAAATAAAAACGCCAAAACACTTTTTGTGGTAGATGGCAATTTCTAATATCTAAATAGAATTCTAATTCAATAAAAAATAAAACAAGAAAATGAAATAATTAAACAAGAGTTCTATAAAGCAATTTAACTTAAAAAGATATTGTTTTATATAAGTTCACAGATATTTTTACTTTTTGCATTTAATTTTATAAGACTATTTGTTTCCCCATTTTAATAACTTTAAGATTGTTGCTATTAAAAATATTCCTCATTTAAAAAAAGAAAACAATACTACTTACATTAACGTGGGAAGAAACATCAAAACACAATACAAAGTAACAACATTTATAAAACAACAAATTTTTAAAATCTTACCCTTCCATCCTTGTCGTCACTATCAAATGAATCAAGAAAAAGTCGAAAAACCTGCTCCTCTGTCCATTCACCACTAAGGTACTTTGGATGTTTTTTAGCATTGTAGACACCTTTTAAATCTTCTATTGTCACCACTCCATCCCCTGTTCTGTCTAATTTTTTGAAAGCTTGATAAATCAAGGTTTTGCGGCTCTGGGACATTGCAGGCTAAGAAATGAGAAAAAAATCGTTAGCCTAATGCTCAAAAATAGATAGGCCCTTTCAAAGTAAATTTATGTAGCAATGTTATTCTTAATTAGAATCTTTTTTTCTTAAACTTTAACTAAAACTTAAAAAAGTTTAAGCTTTGAGCCTAATTCTGATTTATCTTCATCACTTTCACATATTATAACATTCCTGCTTAATTTAGAAGTTAAAACAATTTAAAAGTTTTGGTGGTATTAAATTATAAAATGTGTAGCCTTGGGTTAGATCAGTAGAAGGAAAACTCAAATATCTAATGGCTGCTGCAGTTAGGATATCATTTTAAAATATTCACCATCCATAGGTCTGATATTTTTATTTGGTTACATGAATCTTGTACATTTTGTCATAAATATAATGTTTCGTTTTTAGTATTAAAAAAAAAAACTTACCCTCAGTCTAACTAAGAACTCATCAAAGTCAATGGATCCACTTTTGTCTTTGTCAAATATATTAAAAAGTTCATCAATTTGAGCTTTGTCAAACTCTGTGACACCATAATCGTGTAAACCTTTGGCAAATTCCTTTTTATCTAAAGATCTGTTTTCATCATCATCCATAATTTTGAAAGTTCTATGAATAAAAAGACAAGTTATATTAGTTGTTTTTTCTTTATGTATTTTACTATTTTACATCATAAATATAATAATGTTGTGGTAAAAGTGATCAACACAATTCAATTGCAAATATTAGACTTATATTTTGATGTAAGCTTATTCTTACATGCCTACATTCTAAAATAAACAGTTAACCTTCAATATATTTAATATGGTAATTATAGATTGTTTTATCATGCATTTTTATTTATATACTGTATAGGAATAATACTACAAATTCAAATGCAGTGAAAAGTTATTTCAAATCTGTTTAAAATTTTAAATGTAGATTCATAACCATGCAACCATGCAGTATTCAATATAAATATAAAAAACAACTGAATCAACAAATAAAATTACAATTTTAGTTTTTATATTTTCCATATACTCAATTATAAACAAAATATTTTAACATAATAACAATTTTCAAATTTAAACTGCCATTTATTAATTGACAGGTTACCAGTAGTAAATGTGCCTGAGTGTAGTCTGTTGTAAGTTAATTTAACATGCTTAGGTTCATTATATTCACATGACCTAAGAGTTCGAAGGAAATGTCAGGTAAATGCTAGCTCTAACAATTCCAATAACAAAACAGGCATAAAACATATTGGTCATTAAACTGGTTGTTACTGTTTGTTAATTTCAATATGTGGATACTAGGGGCGGTTTTGGTCAAAAGTAAAGCATATATATATATATATATATATATATATATATATATATATATATATATATATATATATACTTGCATATTATATAAATGATACAATGTCAAGAACTGTATGCCAGATAGTGTATATACAAATATTTCGAATTATTTGAGTTTCAAATTTTGTTATTAAAACCAAAACTGTGTAGGCCTAATCATTGTTTAAGGTTTTTAAATTTTTATTTTAAATTAATAAATATTACAGTAAAGAACATTTTAAAAAGTACCATAGAGACAACAATTAGATTGAGATGATTTAATTTAAATAGGGAATATAACAGGCAGACTGAAATTGATACTTTCATGCAAAATGTCTATGATTCAACTAAATATCTGTAAAACTCCTCATGTGTAGCCTATTCATGTAAGCTTGAGACAAAAAATTGTTTTAATTAACTTCTGATAAAGCTGCTACATCGCTAAAGGGGAATGTAAGCTTGCAGAGGCTTACACGAGGAATAATTAATTATGTATAACTTAAACTGCAAGAGGCTCTGCGGACTACAATGTTCTCTGAACTCCAATTTATATGTGTTATGTACAGCCTAGTGTTATAAGGTGATATGATATGCATAAACAATATTTCCAGTTGAATGGTTTCTATTCCACTAATAACATTTAAACAATAAGAATGATTTTGTTTGATCTGGTAACATGTGTTTCATTTCCTTCTATCGCACTTTAAAACAAAATAAAATTCAATAATTATTTTTCATGTGTTATTTTAAAATATCAATATTAAATGGCCATTTTTGTTTATCAATATCTTTTATGGCGCTATCTTGAAAGTTAATTAATTATTTTTATATTATATAAAATCCAATGTTAAGACATGGGCTAGTTGAGTTGCTAAATATTTGCACAAAGTAAATTTGTTACTAAAATGGAGCTCCAGCATTAATGTTCACTTTTACAGAGGAAACTTTTTTTCCTTATACAGTAGTAGTAGTAGGGCCTAACTTGATATAAGAGATATGGGATTTTTTAGATATGAGCTAAAGAGCGAGCTAAAATTTGCTTTGACATACAAGCAACATTTTTAAGATAAGAGTAATCAAATTAGCTGGTATAACAGGTCAAGGAAAAGAAACACCCTGAAAAAGTTTCAACTGGTTGTAAATCAGAGCTATTTCATTACATTTACACAACTCATTTCCAAAACATTTTGGATAGGTTTTTTTAACAGCCTGTGTTGAAAAGTGAGGAAAATGTGGCAAAAAAAAACTAAGTCCAGCAAAGAGAAAAGCAATGACAAAAATTAAATTCCCTTAAGTTTAGTGTTAATAGTGTAAGGAGTAAGTGACATTACCAGTGAGCAAGTGAATGAAATGAAGCTCCTATGCGTGTCTCTCATGTCCCTTCCGACCCGCACTGAGCCTATTTAACTCTGGTCTAGCTCACAGCTCAATTTAAATTTTAGAAATTTTTTTTTACTTTAAACACTTTGCAACAATAGGTGTGGGGGAGGTGTCAAGTGTGATGCCATTTTAGGGGGGGGGGGGGTGGACCAATTTTTTCAATGATGTCGAGGAGATGAATGTTTAAGTTTATGTAATTTATCTCAAACTTTCCTATAGGCTATAAACAACTATAGCCCATGGGATTGTGCATAAATGACGTCACACTCGTAGGGGGGGAGGGGGTCCATAATTTTGTGATGGTATGTGATGAGGGAGAGGGGGGGGGGGGGGAGTTCAGATGTGTCACACTTTTGCATTATAAAAAAATCAATTTTATAAAATGAATTTTAGCCATTATTTCGTGTTTTAGAAAACTGTTTTAATAAGTTATAATAGAGATTGTTTAAAATACTCTATGTGGACAGAGTTCAGACAAGATTTTGGGAAAAATATAGATGTTTTAAGAAAAAATTCAACTGCAATTTTTAGGTAGGGGGGGGGGGGGGGGTTGTAGGCTGAGGTGTGACATCATTTTAGGGGGGGGGCTGGCATTTTGTGACAATGTGTGACAGAGGGGAGGGGGAAAATAAAATGTGTCAAAAAAGCTTGATGATATTTAATTTATGGATGACCCCTATATATATGGGCTAAAGTGTTACTAAATATAAATATTTCATGATTGTGTTAGAAAATAAATGTTTACCTTGCAAGGCCTTTAATTCCATTTGCGCCTCTTGTTAAACAAGCGAGACGCAATCTTTCAACAGGATCAACTGCTGTCTGTAAAGCTTTTTTGGCTTTCATCTGAAGTTCTGTTTGCGTTCTTTGAGTTGCTGCCATTTCTGAGTCTCAGCACGTTCCTAAATTGGTTATAACTTGTGAAATTAGTTCTAGAGTCTAACTGACTACCAAAAACTGGTTTCGTTCCACGCGGGAAGAAAAGTTGTTTATGAAAAAAAAATGTATTTAAAAACTACTCTTGTAACAACGTTCAGCGTTTAATAAAAACGTTGCGTAACACATTTCTCAATTTTAATTAAAAATACAATTAAATCAACACTATTTTGCTAGGAGAACTTTAGGTTAGGAAACTACACATTGAAATGAAAACCAAAGCACATACCACACCGCTGTCTTTATCATGAAGCACAACAGGAAAGGCAAGCCTCTACAGGACTTTACAATATCGATCGCAGAAAAATCCAGGTACACAATCAATGTTTTTACTTGTATCCATAGAAACAAGGGACTGTACCGCGTAAATTTAATTTTGAGATTCAAAAGTAAGAAATTACTACAGTTGACCTGTTTGATTTACAATAATATGATTTATTTTAAAGTATTCATTTAAACTTTTAAATCTAATGTAAAGATAAAGGCTTATAGTATGTAACTTTTGTGACCCAACTGGAAATACCTATATAATTCTATGTGTAGGCCTATGCAGTATGCCGTATGACTATTCGCCCACAATAAGATTTTCAACATGTGTAATGTAGGCTAAAGTTTAAGTGACCCTTCTAAATTTTAAAATTAAACTCTATCAATTGTTTGGTCGCAACCGTGTTGTATGACTCCTCACTGTTTTTTTTATAATTTAACTGCTTATTGTTTTATTTAGTGCCAAGGCCATAGCTTAGGTCGAGTGAATATGAAAATTCGAAAGTAACTTTCTTTCAGGTAGACTCCAGATCTAGATCTAGATCTAGTAAAATTCTGAGATATAAAATTGTTTTTCGTGATCTCTAAAAATGAAAAGTATGTCGCCAACAGGAGATAGTGTTTATGTCCAAGCAGTTTATCATAGGGAGGGGAGAATATGTTGTGTGTGATACCTTACGTAAAATAGAAAAAAAAGGCTGTTGTCGGCCTTGATTACTAAGTCACTAACATTCGTCTTCTGTGTTGAGTTTTCCTAGGTAAAAACGAAGGTGGCATATACAAAGAAGAATTTGTTAGATGCGACGCTTTATTTTATTTTCTACTGAATTAACACATCAAGGCCTATTTCGTGCATATAATGTTAGCAGCCCATTTAGCCCTTTTATCTCATTACTGATTTATATGTTAACCCTACAGGCCTACACAATTAGTGTACTTGCAAGCCAAGGCCACTCTGGCTTTTGGTAAAGGAAAAATAGTATTCACAATTTAAATGAAATAAAACATGAACAGGATTTGAATGTCAGTTGGTTTAAAGTGTGGTTGAATGAAATAAAACTCCTGTTATCAAGTTCACATCAATCAAGGCTTATTGTTCATGTGTCACTTGCTTTAAAATCCCCTGTTGCGATCAATGCATTTAAATTGTGGCAGCTGTTTCCTTCATTAGATTTTAAATTGGACGATTTTATTTACAACGATTCATTTGTCTCCAACATAGAAGTATGCATACAATATAGTATAGTGAAGTTCCCATTTCAATCCTAACGATTCAGGATAGATGAAGTGGAGTTCATACGTGTCAGCCTTTTCCCAGTAGATATTTACTTTCAATAACGTGAGTCAGGTACCCAACAGAGCTGAGTGGACTCAGGGACGTCTTGCAGTTTCTAAACTGGATCGAGAGTTCGAACTTGAGACTTTCGGGCTAGCAGTCTAGCGCTCTACCCCGGCCACGTCATTCCAACCAATATGCAGAGGCATAGCGACCCTACCGGCGCCTGGGCGAACTTTAAGCTTGGCACCCCCATTTATATATATATATATATATATATATATATATATATATATATATATATATATATATATATATATATATATATATATATATATATATATATATATATATATATATATATATATATATATATATATATATATATATATATATATATAGGTAGGTAGGTAGAAAACGGTTAAATCAGTAGGCAAAGGCTCTTAGCCGTTAAATTTCTTAACTTTGACTGTTTATAATTCAAAACTGCAGCTTAGAATGAGCTTTTAATTATTTTTTCTACCCCTTTTTGGCACCCCCTTGTGTCAGCGCCCGGGGCGGCCACCCTCCCCCCACCCCAGCTACGTCTCTGCCACTATATCACACTACTATTGATCCCCTCCTAAATTATCTGATAACACAAGAACACAAAACGATTTTACTGAATGGCCATCTAACTGGTTTAGCTTGTCCCTGATCTTTCAATCCATAATTTTGCACAAGCCCATGTTTGTGAAGTAATGATTCAATCAAATGATGTAGGCATTAATAAACTAGCAATGGGTCTGATTTTTACATTCACACAAGGACGGGAATTCACTGTCGTAAGAATGAGCTCCCTTACTTTCGTTGTTTTGCAAAATAAGTTGCCGCAAAATAATACAACTTTCAGTCTACTTATAATCATATTAAAGATAAATGCCTTAGCAACGTCGAAAAATCCTATTATTTAACAGGTGGTGTTGTTCCGAGGTTGGGTAATGACAATAGTTTTATAATAAATGGTCAACTATATACGTTAGGTAGCCGTGTGTAATGATTGTGTGGGTGTTAGCTGTAGCTGTTAATTCTTTTTAATGACACCACTTGGTAGTTATTTTGTTCTAACTGCGGGAGTGTTCTCCCCTGTTCCTTTTATTATTATATAAACGTCATTCTCCCCACCCCCACCCCCGCCCCACACCCATACACACTCCCTTAACCGAGAACCATTGAGTTTAAGTTTAATATATACTTGCACTCATTAAAAAAAAATATTAGTATTTATTTCAATAAAAATGTCACAATTGTGTTTATGTAAGTACAGTAATCCATCGACTATCACTAGTTTTACACTACCCCCCTCCAATCATTGTCACCATATTCCCATTCCCACAAGGTATTATGTGGTATTGTAATCTATTGTAATGTTGATTTAAAAATGTGTGCATATAACCTGTATAAAAGAAGTTGTTTTTTCCTGTAGACCTAGAAAATAAACACACACACACACACACACACACACATAGAGCATCCACATGCATATTTAATGCAAACACATGTATTTAATTTTTACATACTTCTTATTAAATTAATAACACATTTTAGAAATATAGCTTTTATTTTTTACCAAAAAAAAATCAGAAAAATACTTTGATACAATCTGTTTTAACATTAAATATTCTTATTTTCAGGTCCGGTAACTCTTAGTTTTTAGATGCCTTATTACCATACCCTAATATTATAATATACATAGCAAACTGATAGAATACATTCCAATATATTATATTTAATTATATGAACATAGGCTGCACTATCCAAGTCCTAGTCGCACACAAATGAAGTCTAAAAAATTAATTTCAATTAGGCCTACATATTTTACATATTTTTTCACACTGTTTATTGAGCTATCGTTGTTGATATTAGAATCTATATATTTTAAAAATCTAATCGACAAAAAAACAACAACATTGTATTAATTATATTTAGAATAACGCCCTCCAAAATGCAAAAAAGCAAAACAATTTACAATTTTCTTTTTTTGGCCATCTGTTCAATATCTAAAAATGATGTAACATGCAGTTTAGTTCAATACACTTTAGAATCTTCGATGCGTGTTGTTTTATTTCCCGCCAAAAATTGCTTTATTTATCAATTTCCCCACTTTTTTCCCGACCTTTTTCCCAAATTTTTTCCCTTTTTTGCTTTTTCCGACTTTTCCCACCAGTTTGACCTTGACTATTCTCGACTTGATGGGGCGGGGCCGTGGGGTGGGTCTCGCACGCGCCTGTTGCAGCTTGGTGGCGTTGAAGCCTTCGTCGCCCCGGCAGACGAGATCCGGGACGCAGCATTCTGGGTAGTCTATATCGTCGTCTGCCTCTAGGTAGCACGTGTCTCTCTCGTAGAAGAAATCAGTGTCATCGCAACTGTTGACGAATGGATTAAATTTTAGTTAACTGTTTGAGGTTAATATTTAAAAAATTAAACTGGGTTATCTTTCAGACAATTTGGGGCGGGGGGGGGGGGGGGGGGGCGGACAATGGTTAAATTATGTATTTTCTTTTTAAATTACACATTTACTATACGGCTGTGTGTGGGGGTGGGAGGGGGGGGGGGGGCGTGCTAAAGGAAGGGGGGGGGGGATGGCAGACCTTCCTCGAGGAAATGCCTTAAAGAAATTCTGATTTTTATTTGCTGTCTACTTCCATGCACAGAGCCGACTGAGGGAACGAGTTTGACAGGCCTATGTATGGGACTACAGTGAGCCATGTAGCACGTATTAGTTTTGTAAACATAATCAAACTTCAGTTTTTTTCTCTACCATCGACAGCTGTGCTGATTTTCCACTTCCACAGAACCAATCCAGACCTCTCTTCATTCTCTCCAGCAGTGTTTCTTCCAGGCATCCGCCCCCCCTCCCTTTGAAATGGAAAATTAAATAGAAAATATATACTTTTACCACTGTCTGAGACACACCCCCCCGCCCCGAAAATATCAAGTGCTCCCCGGAGAAAAAAAGTCTGGAAGAAACATTGCTCTCCAGGCGTTTATTAATTGGTGGTTATTTATGAAAGTGGCTTTACTTTCGTTTTCAACAGTCACGCATAGTAAGCTTACCACATATCCCGGCTTATATCTTAACATAACTCATTTTGTAATCAACATTTTAAAGGCGTACTCACTATTTTAATTTTACCTGCGCAATAAATTAACACCTATATACTTCTGCCACTTGAAATATAAAAAAAAAACATTTTAAAAAGAAGTAATAAAAATATTTTGGTCTTTTTTTATCCTACCTGGCACACACGTATCCACTGGCCTTACAATTACACTCTCTACAGCCAGTTTCCTGCCATTTTTCGCCTGTTTTACGATCACCTGGACACTTCCCTTTTTAATAATCAATCATAAATAATATCAGTTTAAAGTGAGACAGGGATATAATGTAATCTTATACTTATAGAACTACTTCAACATCTCTTAAACACAATCAAACTAAAAGTCTTTCACGTAGATAAATCTAACTACAACTATTTTACAAGTTTAATTACTAGAAATACAAATGACCAACACAGTGGCGTAGCGAGGTCGGGTGTCACCCGGTGCGGCACTTAACGGTGTCACCCCCCAGAGGCGTAGCGACCCTTCCCGGGGACAAATTTTCGACTTGCACCCCCCCCCCCCCCCTCAAACTTTCGATTTGCACCCCCTCAAGTTTTTCTCTGTATATTTTGCTATTTTTTGCCTTGGTGTCACCCCCCTAAATGGTGTCACCCGGTGCGGTCCGCACCCCCGCCCCCCCCCCCCCCCCCCCCCCCCCCTCGCTACGCCTCTGGACTAACAACATTTCTTGTCATTTAATAAAAAAAAAGAATATGGGACACGTCTTAATAATGAATTAAGATGATATCGCAGGAATAGCGCTAAACTGGACACTCAAAGGAAAAAGAAAACAGTAAAGGCCAAGGGAAACGTGGAGGCGCACGGCCATGAAGCAGCTGGCAGAGGCAGGACTGTCATGGGGGACTGTCTGGAAATTTGCCGGACACGACAAAAGTGGAGGGCGATCTCTGTCGCGGTCCCAAGTGTCTTGGGCACCAAAGAATAAGGTTGATGATGAATGATTCTCATTGATTAGTGTTATATAACATAGCTGCAGACTACATCACCGATTATGATAAAATCTAAAAATTAAATTTAGTTTAGTTTGGAGTTTAGCTTGAGAATGAAGTAGCATTATCTTCGTAATTAGATAATACAATTATAGCAAGTTGCCGAGACCCTTAATATTTCTCTGTTATGGAATCCTAGCTTTTATTACCTTAAAATATACCTGCTATATCCTTACATAGGCATAGGCTAAAGATAATTATCTTAAAAAATACAAGCTTATGTGTCTTCTTTGTTATGTTTGACCTTCATTCTATGAAATAAAAATTTGCTATATTGACCACAAGCTAGCCACTCAACCTACCTTTCGTGTGAATCAAATCAGCCACAACTATCGTGAGTACAGCCGCCAACACTACCAGATGTCTCATGGTTAGGTGAGTACGCCGGGGATCAGCCCTGATGAAGTTATTTTTGGTACCAAATGTTCTTGCCTTTATAGCACTGCCGGAATCGTCAGCATCTCTTTGAGACAACCCTGTTTGTGGGTTGTGTTTTTTTTCTTGTTTTTTTTAGAGGTGGGGGGGGGGGGGGGGAAATATAAGTGCGGTGTATAAATGTGGAATGGGGTCAAGGTTGTTTGACGGGCAATTTTGAATAATTTAGCGCTCGGTATTGCAAAATGTTGTCCAGTAATTGTCTAGGACTCATACGTATAGAAATAGACGATATAATTATCCTACAATATTGCGATTTTTTTACGCAACACATGCAACCACTCTCCCTCTTCCTATCCCTGACTTTACTTAAAATGTTGGTTTTAGCAAGAGTCTATTCCTAGAGAACGCGCTTGTACATTCGAGAGACGAAAGGTAGATACATTGAGAAACAGGTAGCGATAAAATTCGATAAAGAAGCCAGAGGCGTAGCGCGGGGGGTGCGGACCGCACCGGGCGACACCATTTAGGGGGGGGTGACACCAAGGAAAAAAAATAGCAAAATGTATAGAGAAAAATTATAACTCGAGTGTTAAATAGTATTTTAAGAGGTGCAAATCGAAAATTTGAGGGGGGGGGGGTGCAAATAGAAAATTGAAAGTTAGTCCCCGGGAAGGGTCGCTACGCCTCTGGGGGGGGGGGGGTGAAATCAATTAAGTGCCGCACCGGGTGTCACCCGACCTCGCTACGCCCACTGAAAGAAGCAACAGCTTTCTGCCAGGCTAGCAGTTAATAAGGGAAGCCCAAAAGCTAGCAGGTACCCCGGGTAGCAAAAGTCGCCAAAAGGCTAGCAGGCAGCCATGTAGGTAAGTCACCCAAAGGCAAGTCAATGCATATCAGACATGATCCTGCTAGTGAGTGGTTCATGTGACACGCTGAAATACAGAAATGCCGTCTAAATCACTCGTTATGACATTAAAACATGGAGACATATTCTACATTAAACTCACGCAATATATTTCCAGCAATTATTTTCTTTTGTGGATTTAAAACTATTTTGGCAGCATTTTGCGTAAACGTCAGGGAATCATCGTGGTACAAGGATAAAACAAAAATGAAAAATCAGCGCAGTTTAAAAAAAAAATCCAAACATTAAGTACCCCCAACACACACACACAGACACACACAGACACACACTCACACGCACACACACCCCACACACGCACACCCATCCGTACTCACTCGACCAACTAGACCCCAGTTTAAAAATATTTTCGTAATTAGAAGCAATTAATCGTACTCGGCCGCGGAAATTATCCTCAAATAGTTACAGATTAGTCACACTTGGTTACAAAACAATATTTTCACGTGGCGCCATTGTGTAACAATTAACACACATTGCATTCATTTCAACCTATTTTGAGATTTCATTCCAGAGTGCACATGTTCAATGCATTTCTGGTCATTGAGGCTGTTTATGCGTTATTATTCTAGGCAGGACCAACCACGCCTAATTGTGCAATGTGCGCGTTTTATAAATAGATAGGTAGCATCAGCTTGTCGTAATGTATATAACTCGTTCACACTCTTATGGACAAAGTTATGAACACACACACTCCATATGGCCAAAGTCCTGTACACACACACCATATGGCCAAAGTTATGAACACACACACACACCATATGGCCAAAGTCAGGAACACACACACACACACACACTCAAACACTGTCCTTATTTTTGTTCTACTTCTGTCCCGCCCAGCTTATCAACACAACTTCCAAGGAAGGTGCATCTGTCCACTTCTTCTAAAGCTTCCTCTGACAATGTTATAGGAGAGCTGCTTGATGCATTGAATTCCCTGAAGCTTCTGTAGATGTAATAAACATGATGGACCGGGAACGAACTTGAAAAATCCGGGCAAGCAGTCACCCGCTCTTGATTTTTAATAAAATGTAAAATATAGATCTATGTATATGAATTAACTTGCATGGTCTAACTTTAAAGTCTACAAGAACATCATTTCCCAATAAATGTTTTTCACGAAATTCACTGTGACATACACAAAAAAGGATATATATATATATATATATATATATATATATATATATATATATATATATATATATATATATATATATGTATATGTATATATATATATATGTATATGTATATATATATATATATATGTATATATATATATATATATATATATATATATATATATAGTTACATTGTTATAGTTACATAGTTATAGTTGTTTAATTCTGTTTTGGTAAGCTCGTATATTTACATGTAA